CGGAGCCAGGTACCCGCGGGGCCCCGAGCGGCCGCTCTGCGGAGGCTCGGGGCGCGTTTGGCCGCCCCGGGCCGCCCCGTCTGCAGCTGCGCACCCAGCAGCCTGCGGGCCCCCTGCGCAGCCCCGGGCGCCCCTCTGCGGGGTGGCCGTGGAGAGCGCGGGCCCCTTCCCCCCGCGAAGCGTGGTCGGCCCCGCGACCCGCAGCCTCGGCGGGCAGGCGGCGTTCCTCACCGGTGGCGGCCCGCCCGGCGCCCCTTCCTGGGTTGCCCTGGCCTTGAGCCGGAGGGGCCCGCCGAGCGAGCGGCCCTGCGGCAGAGCCCCTCCTCTCGCGTTAGGCCCTTGGCCTCCGAGGACCTGTGTGCTTCTGAGCATGGGCAAAGCCCTCTGCCCCCTGACCGCAGGCTCGTGGGTCGGGCCGCACGCCCGGGGTGTGTGTTGGAGGGCGTGCTTCCGCGGGCGGGATCGTGCCGCCTGGGTCCCCTAGCCTTGCCGCTTGCGTGCCTCCCCCCAGCCCGCACTTCCCCGATGCTGGATCCTGGTGGCGCGACCCTCCCTCTCCGGCTGCAGCGGCGGACTCGCCCTGGGATGTTGCGGGAATCGCGGCTTGGCAGAAGCACCTGGAGGAAGAGACGGCGCTGAGCCCCCTGGACGGGGGCGGCGGGGAGCTGCCGCTGGTGGAGGACCCTGTGAGTCTGGATGGCACCGTGCGGGGTGCAGGGCGCCTTGCTGCGGGCAGCGGCCAGCGCAGCCCTTCCCAGCCTGATACATGGGGCTGCGTGTGCCCCTGGCGGGACCCCCCTCTTGCGGTCTCTCCCAGTCTCCCTGGCTGGCCGGGGTGGGCAAGAGGATCTTGCTGGAGCAGGGAGGGGGTCTCTGGTGGGAGCTTCGCCTTCCTGGCACAAATTGCTGGGACCCAGGCGGCCGGGGCAGCAGCTGCCACGCAGGGAGGGAGTGTGGCTGCCCGTCCTCTCCTTGCCTCTTTTGGTCTGCTTGGCGTTCAGGAGCTGGAGGCCATCAAGGCCAAGGTCCGGGAGATGGAGAAGGAGGACGAGTGGCTGCAGGAGCTGCAGGCCGAAGCCAAGACCTTCATCCTGCGATCAGACCCAGGTGTGGCTCTCGGGGTGCAGCGGGGCCGGCCGGCCGGCCGGCCGTTCGCAGGCCCCTTGTGCGGCTTTGCTGAGCCGGCCCAGGGATGCGTGTGCCCCAGAATCGCTTGCGGTGCTTCAGGCACGGCCACCTCAGAGCCGTCCAGGTGACCCCTCAGCACCGTCTGGGATGGCTGGTGGCTGGACCGGGTGGGCTTGGGTGGGTTTGCTTTTCTGCATTCTGTCCAGTCCTGCTGCCTTCGGGATGTGGACCTCCAGCTCCTTCTGGCCACTGCAAAGATGGATGGGATGATGGAAGCTGTAGTCTGAAACAGCCGGATTTTTTTTTAAATTTAGTATGGTATAGCAGAAAACAGCATCATTGCATAAAAACCCACACATTAATATATAATGTGTGCAAAATGCAAAACAGGAAGGCAACAAATTTACTTTAACACATAATACAAGCAATCAATAAGATTGTAAATAAAACTAGATTAAGTGTGAGCAGTTACTGGAGTGGCTAGACTTATAGCTGGGCATCTAGAGCATGTAACCATTGGACAGCAGTGCCCTTGCGATGACGCAGCTCTTGCAGGGTTCCGGGAAACCTAAAGGGACATTTCATTGCGATATGATAAGGAGTTTGCGGGACACTCCCGCAGTCACAACTAGGATTCTCGACCAGCCCCCATTTACGTTTCTGGATATCTGGATGACCTCCAGCAAGAAACAGCCGCCCAAGCCCGGCGTTCCGCTTCCATCACTGGCCAGGAGCGCCCCAAGCAGGCTGGGATTCCACGGCAGAACCAGCACTCGACGGGTGGCTTGAGTTTGCTGTTGCTCCGCAAGTTGGAGGGTGGTTGTGAGGAAAACTGCCCTGAGCTCCTGGGGGGAAGCTGGGATATCGACGGGGGAGAGACAAGACCCGTTGGGGCGATTCCCAATATCATGCCCCGTTGTTGCTGTTCCTGGCGCAGGTCTGTCTGTACACAGGACAGCGGAGGAGAAGATCGAGGTTGACCAGCGCTCCATCTACGTGGGAAATGTAAGCGAAACGGGGCTGGATGCGACTCTGGGCTGGGGCTTCGCCTGCGTGGAGAAAGAGGTTGCTCAGTAAAGGGGGAACGCGCCTGCCAGCGAGCCGCCCTGCTCACTCGGCCCAGGCCCCGGGCCCAGGCCAGGCCCCAGGCCCAGGCCCAGGCCCAGGCCTGTGTCGAGGGAACCCACCGAAAGCAATGGGCTGGGGCGAGCTGCATCTGGGCTAGGCTCTAATGATTTCTGTGAGTCTGCTCTGCACAGGATTCTGTCTGGAAAGAAACCAGGGTTGGGAGGGCCAGCGTGATGCGGTGCTAGACTGGGACCCGGAAGGTCTGGATTCTGGTCCTTGCTCAGCCAGGAAGCCCCTGGGTGACTTTGAGAGAGTCGCTGACTCTCAGCCTGGCCTACCTCACAGGGCTGTTGTGAGGATAAAATGGAGAGAAGGGGGATTATGTAAGCTGCATTGGCTTCTTTTCAGGAGGAAATAAAGGCAGGCTATTAACATATGAGAATAATGCCAATAATACTTGGATCTAAGAGTAGTCTTAGATGAACAATATACAGCAACAGTGGAGTTTCAGAAATTTCAGCAAATTAACTTGCATTGAGAAGGTATGAAGAGGGCAGCAGCAGCTTGGACTGAAACATCTCTGCACAGTCAGGCTGGCTGATTTAACAGCATCAGGCTCTTTCTCCAACTGGGTGCCCTCCAGATGCATTAGATGGCAACTTCAGTTGTTTCCAGCCCGTGGCCGTGGTTGCTGGGGACGATGGAAGCTGCAGCCCAGTGCATGCGGAAGGGGCGTGTTGGGGAAAGGGGTCCTCAAAGCCGCGCCCGCCCTCACCTTGCTGGTGTCCCCCGCGTGCGGTCTGGTGTGCCCCCCACAGGTGGATTACGGAGGGTCCGCAGAAGAGCTTGAGGCCCACTTCAGCGCCTGTGGCCAGATCAACCGGGTGACCATCCTGTGCGACAAGTTCTCCGGCCACCCGAAAGGGCAAGTCGCCCGCGTTTCTCTGAAGGTGGGGGGTGCCCGGGCGCCGGTGCATGTGGAGCAGAGCTGAGGCACCCCGGGGGCAACGGCGAGTCTCCCCGGCACCCCAGGCGGAAGCCACTCGCGTGCAACCCGCCCCCACCCCCGGGCGAGGGCTTGAGCCGGCTCTTCTGTCCTGCTCGCAGGTACGCCTACATCGAGTTTGCGGACGGGGCCTCTGTGAAGGCGGCTGTGCGGCTGGATGAGAGCACGTTCCGAGGCCGCGCCATCAAGGTAGGTGCCCCCGGAAGCGGAGGCGAAGGGCCTCTGGGAAGGGTGGCCCACGCGGGGGGAGCCTGGCCGGGCAGTCCGGCTTCCCTCCACGCAGAGCAGAAGAGCAGTCTCCCCTTCCTGGGGTCCCGCCTGTGCGTCCTCCTCCCTGGCACACGCTCCCATCCCGCTCTGGGCTCAGGGGCCGCCTTCTGCGGCGCTGCTGTCCTCGCTCTGCTGCAGGTGCTGCCCAAGCGGACCAATATGCCTGGGATCAGCTCCACGGACCGTGGCAGGTCCCAGGGGCGCTTTCACGGCCGGGGGGCCCTTGCTCGCCGGGCCGGCTTCTGTGGAAGGGGGCAGCGGTCCAGGACCCGCGGACGGGCGCACAGGTGCGTGGGGCAGCCGGGGGTGCGCTGGCGGGGGTGGCTCTCCTGGATGACGAATTATGGTGCAGGTCCAGCTCAATGGCTCTTCTGGGCAATGCGAACTTTTCTGATCGAGGTTTTCTAGGGGAGATCTGCGGGGGGGGGGGGAGTGTGCAGGTGCTCCAAACGGGGCTTTGGGTTTCCCCCTCCATGGGGTGGACCTGCTGGAATGCAGCCATCCTTTGAAGGTATTCAGACTGAGGAGAGCAAGGAAGAAAGAAGGGGACATGATTGCATCCCATCTGCAAAGGTGCAGGGGGGCTTCAGGATGCTGAGCAGGTGGTGAGCTTCAAACGTGGCGGCCCCGCTTTGCAGCCGGGGGTTGGCATTGCGCCTCGGCCTTCTGACGGTTCTTCAGGATGGCTGCTCACACCTGGACAGTTCGGAAGGGCCCGCTTCTCTCCAGGACGCGTCGGCCCTGCAGGTTTTGGGCCATTCTGAGGTCACCCGGCTGCCGGGCCAAAGCGACACCTGACGATGCAGGCCGATGCCTCTTCTGCAAGAAAGGAGGCGATGGACCGCAATTCGACCTCGCTTGGCGTCCGAGGCTCTTCCCTCACCGTGAAGAAAGGCCCGTGGCTGAAGGGAAATGCAGCGAGGGGGACGTACCTCCCCTGTGCATCCCGGTCTGGGGGACACTCCTCTAGGAGCATCCTTTGGTAGCTGCTCTCTCGGGCCAGCTTAGCGTCACCTGTGTGTCTGCATGGCCGGCTGCACGCGGGCCCGGACCTGAACACACAAATCCGTCCCTCGTGCCGGTGAGCAGACGCTGCCCCCGCATGAAAGGAGACGGAAATGCGCACCGACTTGCTGCCCGGCAGCTTCCAAGTCCAGCGCCTCGCTGACCCAGAGAGCCCCTGGTGAGAAGCACCCTGGCGTGCGCGCGGCTCCCGCTGTCCGGGCGGTTTTGCACTTGCGTGCGTTCTGCGCTTGACAGCCACACGCCAGAGGGGCCGCGTCCTCTGAGCAGCATCCAGGAGCCTGGGAAGGTCGTGTCCAGGGCTGCACTCTCATTGCGTGTCCCGGTGTGCGCCTGAGTGTGGAATCCACCCCAGCGGTGGATCCAGGAGCTGTGGTTTAACAATTAGAATGACAGTCCCCTCCCCTCCCCTCCAAATTGAATGGCCCTGCTTTTCCTTGGGAAAAAAGAGCACAGTACAGCCAAGAGCATTAGAAAATCAACAAAATCATATTCAAAGGACAAAAAATTGCACAGTGGTAACAATATGTGCCCTTCCGAGGGCCTCGCATGACAGATCGCCCCATGAGTCGGTCTGGAAAGGGCTGCTAGAAGAAGCTGGCAGGGGCCAAGGGTGTCAGGATGCGCCCCCAGCATCTCCAGGGAGGACGAGTAGATGCATGAAGTCCCAGCGGGAAGGCCGCTGCTGCCAGCCAGTGCCGACTATACAGGGCTTCGAGGGTCTCGGACAACTAGCAGAAGCCCGCCAGATCTGCATCTTTCATTTGCCGCTTCTAGCCAGAAGAAGAGAAGCAAGAATTGGAGCATTGCACCTCGATTCCTTCTTTCATTCTGGCTTCCGGCACATCCTCTCGCTTGTGCATGCCCACCTGTCGGCTGTGGTGAAGTGGCAGGCTTTGCCGCTCTGCCGCACTCTCAAGCAGCACCCCCAAGTCCCTCACACCGCCTCGGGGATCGCTTGCGACAGTCGACCGGCGTGGGGAAAATGCATCGCTCACCTCCAGCTGCTGTGGGGCCTGCAGCAAAGGTCAGAGGGAACGGGGAAATCCGAGGAGGTGGCGGTCGGCGTCCTGCTCGCCCACAAGCCCGACACTTTGGTCATGGGGGCGCTGGCTCTGCTGCACTGCAGCCTGTCGGTGGCTTAGACCCGGTTTGTTTGACGGAAGAGCCCAGCCGGATCAGACCCAGAGCCCACCCACTCCGGCAGTCTGGACAGACGGTGGCAAACGGGTGCAAGACCTCCACCTGCCCAAGTCCCTCAGCAGCTGGTGTGTGCAGGCAGGCTGCCCCTGGCCAAGGAGGGAGCCCCTGGCCAGCGAGGCTAGTAGCCACGGGGGGCCATCCCCACCATCGATCTGGCCAGTCCCCCTTTAAAGCCACCCAGATTGGCGGCCATCTCCACTCCCCAAGGCAGCTCAACTATGCGTGACGGAAGGGACTAGGAACCTGATGCGCCTTCACGGGGAGGAGTGTGGCTGAAAGGCGACTGGGGCTGTGCCTGTGCAGCCAGATCAGACAGCGGCCCAGGAGCAGCCTTGCCAGCTCCTGATTCGCTTGGCCACTGAATCCCGTGTGGTGGAAATGCACTCAAAATCAATTACAGCGGTGATGGAGAGGCGGGACGGGGCCAGGTATTGATCAGCAGCCTTGGGAGTCTTGAGCGCTGCAGCCGACGAGAGCAGCCCGGGTGAAAGGAGGGCCTGGATCGCGGAGCTTCTTCCAGGGCTCCCCAGTCATTGTGCCCCTTCCCCAGCCCTCCTTTTCCCTGAATTGCTGATCGTGTGGTGGTTTTCTGGCTTTTTATGCATTTTTGAGGATTCAGTTACTGGGAAAAAGGGGATGTAGGCTTTAAAAAGTTGGAATTTTTGTCCTGCATTCCATAGGAATATGGTCCTTGAGAATTTCTCCAAAATTGGGGATTTTGGTGGGTAGTTTGCGTATCCGAGGGATGCTGGGAGGTGGGGTGGAAGGTCCTATAAAGACCTCTAGCTCCATGGTGGAATGGAATGGAGAAGGAGAGAATAAAATGCATTGTAGGCAAACTGTTTTGGAAGTCGTGAGCTTTTACTGTGCTGCGATTTTTCAAAATAAGGATTTTAAATTCCTGTGAATAAATGCTGCATGTAGGTGGGGGTGAGAGAAACGGAGAAGCTCCAGCTCACCAAAATTCTCCAACCTTCACTTCAGAGCTCAGCCTGCCTTGCTCTCATTGGCTTTTGTGAATTGCTCTCTGGTTCATTTGAAAGCAGAAACCGAGCATTTCAAATAGGGGAAGGCATGCCTTCCTGTGCACATTTCGCAGAAGTGCACACTCCACTGCATTAAAGGACAGGTGAAAATTCCTTTTTAAAAATGCACTCCTAAGTGGATTTTTAATGCATTTTTGGGTGTGATTAAAAGTTTGGGAACATGCAGACATGCTTCTGAAAAATGCATTCCTATTCAGGGATAGGAAAAATTCAGATACCTTGCTAATGAAAGGCTTGTATAGGCTAGTTGCACGTGGAGCTGGGAATAGGCAGCAAAACCTCTGGCTTCACCATCCTGAAAAGTGGTGTTTCCTTTCCAGGGGCCGTGGAAGGCTGTCCCCTTGGTACACACCGTACTAAAGACCCAAGCGATGCTTCAGGACCCAAAGTGGAAGGATATTGCGGAGCAAATGCGAGGGGGGGCACCTGTTCTCCTGTATTTCCTGTCGTGAGTTACCTGTGCTATGACTGATTACCGGCTGTGCCGTTCTTCCAGAAAACACAGAGGATCTGTACTGCTTGGGCCCAGCAAAGCGGAGGGACGGCCACAGCGAAGACGCCAACTCAGCGCTTCTCATTTAGGCACCGTTCTTGAATTCTTTTGGTGGATAGAAAATGAGAGCTCCACTGGGTATCGGGCCCCGTTCTCTTTTCTTTCCTCAGCCCGCCCTGCCACATGAGGCAGCCGTACTAATACTGGTGAATTCAGCCCCTCGATCTCTCTGGCCCAGCCAAAGAGAAATTTCATTTTGGCATGAAGGAGGGTTTGGGGAAGAGGACAGGATAGTGTGCGAACGGGGTTTTTTAAAATGCAGGTGAGGACTTGTGTTTTGAATGATGTTTGATCGAGTTCTTGGGTAGAAAAGCAAATGCTCACATTCGAGTGGCATCTGAAACTTGTTCCTAGCACTTCTGTTTCTCACTCTCCACACCCAAGCTGTACTTAAGGGAGCCTTCCTCACCGGGAGGTTAGCTGCCATCGTCGGGAGGAAGAAAAACTGTCCATCCCAAGTAGAGTTTGTTGTCAAGGCCTGACGGAGAATACGAGCTCAGGCTGAGGTTGCACCGGGCGTGTGCCAAGATGCTTTGAGTCCCTGCGCCTGTTGGGTGTTGGCGTCATGGTTTGAATCACTTTCCCTCAGAATTGAGCCCTTTCCTGGCTATGTGAGCCCGTTCTGAAGGGGCAGTGTGGGCTTTAACTCTGGTGTCCTCCACATCTGTTGGAATGCAGCACCAGGAATCCCCAGCCTGTGTAATTGTGGAGGCTGTAGCCCCACGCAGCTGGGGGGCACCGCAGGACCAGAGGTGAGTGTGGCAAGTCCAAAAGCTGGGCCGTATTTGTGTGAGATGGTGCTGCTTTCTCACCTCATCTGAGCAATTCTAAATTTCCATTCCCCAAGAGCTGTGAAGTCTAGATAAGGGGATTCTGTGGGCGATGAAGCTAAGAAGAAAATCACTAGCGAGGGCTGATGTGGTTTTGCATGTCTTGGGTTGCTTTCTTATTATACCCACCTCTTTTTAAATTAATTTAAAAAAAGCTTGCTTCAAGTAAATTTAAATGAATTTTTATTATCGGGCTCAACTGCTAAATGACTGATTAAATGCTGTTGTCTTTTTCTGCTCCAGTCAAAACAAGTTTCATTCTTACTAAAGTAGCTTTTTGTGAAAAGACTTGCCTGATGAAGAAATGCATCTTGCAGCCTGCCAAGTTTGTGGCGTTCCTAAGGAGAAAACCATCTCCTTGTCTCGTGACTTGCACTATATCCAGAAAGGACCTGTCTGAAATTTTACATAATCGATCTTTCACTTTTAGTCCCCTTCTAGCGTGCAGCTGAATAAATCTAAAAACTCCGTGGCGTTTGGTGATTTTTCCAGTCCTCTTTTGCTGAAGCATTGCAATTCCAGGATGTGGGGGACCTGGTGATGGCTTCACACTCCCTTTACAGGTTGAAAAACACGGCCTGTTGATTCTGGCAAGTGCAAAGGTGCAATTTATTCATTAGCCTGTTTTTAAAGCCCCCCCCCAGGAATTTCTTCTGTGCCCACCTCACTGAGATGCATGGAAGCTGCAGGGTTCTGTGCCCGTTTCTTCCGTGGGGGCTGCACGGGAGCGCTTCCTAGAAATGGTAGCCAAAGTGAGCAATGAATAGGCAGATGGTGAAAAGGAGATTTGTATGAATGTTTATATGGCGATACACAAAGGCGCAGACTGTCATAAAGTGGTTTTGTAAGATGTTGATGTTTTTTAAAAGGCAAAATAAATGATCCTATTAATTAAACTAAATCCGCAAGAGGGCTGGTTGGTTTTCCTGCGCGCTGACTTGCCTTCTTAGAAGGCCCCCCCTTGCGGCAGCAACGGGCGGGCAAGCAAGAGGTGCCCACGTTTTGGTCTTGCACCAATTCTGGACTTCCGTCTTAGTTCTCCATGTCCCCCTTTATTAACAAAAGGAGGATGAAAACCATCCCCGAACATCCAAAATTAGCATGTTGAAGATTTTGTACCCCGTTTCTTTGGCATCCTGTGAGCAAACACCTCCCCCTCCAGTTGTGGACTACAGTTCCTGTGCTGGCTGGGGCGAATGGGAATTGCATTCTAAAACAGCCGGAGGGCAGCATGTTGGGGAACGTTCCAGGATCAGGATGTTAACCTTCCGACCGACTCCACCGGCCTGTTCCGGGCCTCTGTATTTGCATTACGGGCCTTGGAGGGGATAATGAACCAGCGTCGTGCGAAGTGGCCCATTTTTTTCACAGCAGCCGGCCAGCCAGCTCTCCGTGGGAAGCCCACTGGGGGACGTGACGACGACAGCATCCTCCTCACGCTCCACAGCAACTGCCACGCCGTCTCCCAAGGCCATGATGGCCAGTGGACGGGAAGGGGCCTCGCTGCCTCCCACTCGCCAAGGTCCCCTCTAAAGCCGTCGGAGCTGGCGGCTGCGGAACGCGATTTGGATTCTGTGCATTTGCGTTCTGTACTTGCAAGCACGGCTTCCGGTTTTTCCACCGTGAGCGTGAGTGTGGGACATGGATTCACACTGCTGATGTGGGAGCCTCCCTCCATCGCGTCCCAGCCCGGCGGGCATTTCCTTCTGAGGCACTCGTTCAGCCTCTGGGACCCCGCAGCCCACAGCGCAGGGGGAAGCTGCTGCAGCGCCCCAAACCACGATAGCGGGCCAGAACCCGGAAATGTCCTGTGGTGTCCCGAAAACCATGGTTTTTACGGCAACGGACTCGCCCAGCTGCACCTCTGGGTTCTGTCTGCCTTGGCAAAGCGGTTGATTATCTACCACGTCGGCCTGCTTAATAGGCATGCGTCTGCTGCATACACATCCAGCCTCAATCTGCTGCTCTGGAATATCGGGCTGACGCACAGCCTCGTTCTGTCAGACTTCAATTTACTTCTGGCCAAGTAATTTGAGTTTAATTGCAGGGCTCTGCCATTAAACCGTGCAATATATCTTCCTACTATTTTGTTGGCAGCAAGAAAGAGGCCGGGGCTCCTTACAAGTGGAGGAAAGTGTTCGAGAGAGAAGCAGGTCTTAAGACGTGAGTCACGGACCCCAGGGCCTGCTGCAGCCACCCTTTTGCTCGCCATGCCTGGGACCCCACAGACTACGGGGGCGAGTATGGGTCCCCTTCTATGCCCCGGTGAACACTTCAAGATGACTTGCCAAAGGACTTTATTTCACAGAATATACACAAAGAACATCACACAGTCCTGCACGGGGACCAACCTCGGGGGGGGGGCGGAGCCAGGATGCTTCAGCAGACTTGCACCATCATGGACATCACCATGTTGTCGAAGGCCCTGGGAAAAGCAGAGACAGGAAGTGTTAGAAAAAAGCGTTTGATGGCCGTCAAAGCTGCGGAGCCCCATCCAAGGGCAAGGGGCAGCTTTGTGCTCGGGGTTCTGCATGTGCCGCCCGACTGAACGGGAAGGAGCGCTTCTGGTGGGAATCGGGCCTTCCGTAGGGACCGCAGGACACAGCGATGCTCACTGGGCCGGATGCGACCTGTAGGCCGAGCAGCCACAGGAAGAACCCAGCAGCTGCTTTTGCGATTACGAAGGAGGGAGGCAGCAAAGTCCAAGGAACGGGGATTCTCAACAGCTGACTCACCTCGACTGGATCTGGTCCCCAGGATTATAAAAGGGGTTGCACATGACGTCTGTGTAAGAGTTGTGCAGCTTCCGGAACATCTGAAAAAGGAACCACTTCTGGTGATGCCCACACAAGACCCTCTTTCACAGACGTGTACCGAGAGGGCCACGTCCACCCGGAGAGCCCCGCTGTGGGTGCTGGCCCGGCCCTGCACTTACGCTTCGGATTTCATTGTCTCGGAGTGCCGTGTTTGAAGAATCCACCACCATCACAAACTTCACCTTGGAATTTGTCACGTAGCCGTACCTGCTCGGTCGGTTAAGGAACATGTGCTAGGAACGCAGGCCCCCGTCCATCTGGTTTAGTGCTGTCTGCACAGACATGCAAAGCTCCCGGGTGAAGCCAGACGCTTCCTAAGCAACGAGCACGAGAACAACATCCAGGTAGCGGGCCTTGAAATAAAAGCATGGCGATTCTGTGTAGCCTCGTTCTGTGAACCCAGCGCCTCAGCCGGCTTTAATTGCAGGCCCTTTCTGTTCAACAGGAGGAAGGATCTGGTTGGGTTCTGGCTAGGCACTAGCAGAGTTACAAGTCTACAGGAAGGCTTCCTGAGCCACTGGCTCTTTTCTAAGTTAAGTATGAGAAGCACACAAAGGACGCTCCGCTAAACGTGTTTTGACAGAGAAAGTCCTACTATGGGATGCTGCCTGAGGATGCGAGGAGTTGCATGACCTTCCTCCATCAGCAGCTCTCCTTAAGCTCCCTGAGGCCTTCCTCACCCCGGGACCCTCGCTAGCAGCATAGGTCACTGGAGTGGTAGTCCGACTCCTCTGGGGGGTGCCGGGTTGCGGGAGGCAGCCTTAGCATGACCAGGCGGGGCCGAAAGCAGCGGTGCGCTTGCAGGAAAAGCCCGGGCAAGAAGCAAAGATACACTTTGTAGTCTTCGGTCGGGTACAGGAGCCCCAGGTAGAGCTCTCTCTGGTCCATGAGGGCTTTCCCCAGAGCAGAGATCTTCTCATCCACGACATCCAGGGACGTGTGCACCGTGTAGTGGAATTTGAGCTCGTTCTCTGTGGGGACGCTGTTGATGTACAGGGGATAGTTCTTGAAAGGAACAAAGAAGACTGTGAAGGAACCCAGCCATACACCTAGCTCCAGCTTCCTGTCCCACAGGAGCATCGGTATGTTAAACCGTTTCCCAGAATGTTAATATCGAATCCCCCGGAAAGACCCAGCCAAAGCAAGCCAGGGTCACGTCCCGGAACAAGGCAAGTCTTCACAGGCTGGCGTGCACGAGAGTCCACTGCCGAAAGAATTGCTCAAGTCTCTGAGCGGTGATCGCATATTCTGCTGCACACATAACAGTAGTTATATTCTGATTTTCCTGTACCCAAGGCTGTCTCTTACCTGCATTCTTCCCCGCTATTGCAAAAAGGGCAGAGCGTGAACACGGCTCCTTAGCGGGGAAAATGACACAGCCAACCCCCTCCCCTGCGTGGCCCCTTCCTCCCCACTTTCAAGGGACCCCCCCCCGCCTCCGCCGCCCTCCCCCCGGCCCCCTCCCCGACCTCTTTGGCGATCACCGCGATGCACACCGCCATCTTGGATACTGGCGGACGCACAGCTCCCTCGCGCCTCCCTGCCCTCCCAGCGCTCACGTGACCGACGCTGTCTCCTGCCCTCGTGACTCGGAATGAGCGGGTTCTGTTTCCCACCTCTACGGGAACAGACGGGAGCGACGGCGCAGCGCCCACAGTTCCGCTTGATGACCGCCGCCATATGCGGGGCTAAGAGCAAAGACGGGCTTATTTTCTTACGGGCTGACTACCCGGAGCCAAACAGAGAGTATCGTATTACTCAAAGAGGACGCCGCACTATTCCTCCTCGGCTCCCACGCCGCTTTCTGGATCGCCGCGTTGCCCCATCTTTATGGCTTAGCCACGCATGTGCGACGGAGAACCGGAAGTGACTGCGTAGCGGCGGCGGGTGTCCTGCGAGCCTCTTGGCCCGCGCCTCGCCTGACTCTTGATCGCTCGCGCCGAACCAGGCCGCGGCTGGGCTTGGTTGCCATGGAGACGGGCTTGGCGGCGGCGCTGTGGCTGGGCCTGGCCGGGGTCTGCGGCCTGCCGGGGGTCGCCCTGGCGCGCCCCCCCAACCTGCTGCTGCTGCTGATGGACGATGTGAGCCGGGGGGCGGGGAAGAGGGCCGGTCCCTGCCGGAGGGGCGAAGGGCTCCTCCGAGGGGTCCCCTCAGCGGGCGGGCGGGCGGGCTCTGCGGCAGCGGGGACGGAGCAGCCTCGAAGTGGGGCGCCTCTTCGACGAAGCTTTCCCTGGCCTGGCTGGTTGGAGGGTGCTGGGAGTTGTAGTCCAGCTCCTTGGAGGGCAGCACGTTGGGGAAAGCAGCTCTGGTGGAGGCTTGCTTGGGGGAGAAACGGCACTGGGGCAGGGCCGACCATGCTGTCAGGCCAGCCTTCCCCCACCTGCTGCCTTCCCGATAGGTAGGGCTGCACCTCCCATTATCCCCAGACCGTAGGCCATGCTGGCAGGGGACGATGAATATGGCAGCCCAGCACATCTGGAGGGCTCCAGGTTGGGGGAGGAGGCCAAGGAGTGGGGCTGCTGGTGCTGCTCACACGGTTTGGGCTACAACAGCCCCAGGCATTATGGGAGTTGGCCAGTGGTTATGGGAGTTGCGGCGCAAAACATCTGGAGGGGCCCACGTGGCCTGTGCTGCCCCTGGACAGAGTGTGTCCTTAGATTTTGTGAAAATAGAGCACATGCTTGTGGGTTTGCTCGTTCTCTCGTGGGCAGAGGGGGGTTTGCTCCCGCCTCAGGTGCCTGCTCGAGTTACCTGCTGTGCGTGCTGTGGATCTCCAGGCCAGGAGGGAGGGCACCTCTTTGCAATTTAAGGGCTGCCTTCAGGGAGTTGTGCCTGGGGGCCACAAGGAGCCCTGACCTGTGGCAGACAACGAGGCCAGGAAACACGTCCTCTGGGCAGTTTGGCTGGGTTGTCTCTAGCAGTTTTGCAGTTTGATGCAGACAAGCTGTCTTGAGTGGTAAGCTAGGCTGGGGCCTCCTTGTAAACCATCTTGAGGCCAGCTTTGGGTACAAAAGCCAGAAATACCGGCATGGAGGCTTCTGGATCAGCTTGCCCCTGGTGAAGCCTGCTCTGCAACTTGCATCCCCTCCTCTCATCTCCAAGAGGAGCATCTTCGAGGCTTTCCGTTTGTATTGACGGTTTGAAGGGATAAAAATACCCACAGCAGTGCCTTGGACTTCTTACACTGCCCGTGTTCTGCTCACCTTTTCTATTGCCTCCCAGTGCCAGCATTTGGAATGCTTTTCTTGTGTGCTAGCGCCAGCACAAGCTCGTTACAGGCAGCTTTCTACAGGTCAAGGCCTTCAGGCCTGTATTATACCACCAAAGCTTTTGAAGGAGGAGGACAGACAGACCTGCTGTGCATACCTACACTGTGAGGAAAGCACGACTGCTTGGACAGACCCATCCAATTCGTGGATGACATGAGAAGTGGCTGATGGAGCATAGTTGCTCAGAAACTGAGATATAAATTGGGACATCCTCGAAAACTAATTTGCCTCTGCCACGAATGCACTCTGTGGCCCAGGCCACGGTGGCGCAGGAATTAAGCCTCAACAGTCATTACGGTGTTGCCAGATGCCTTTTTGTTTGGGCTGGGCAGGCAAGTGTAAGTGCCCCTCTGAATGGCCAGTCCACTTTCCACCTCCCATTTACCATATGGGGTATATGAATGCTGACCTACATTACAGGGTTGTTGTAAGGAGAGCAACAGAGGGGGCATACCTGGGTGGTGGAGCACATATTTTTCATGCAAGCGGTTCTAGGTTTGGGTCTGGGCATCTCCAGGGAGGACTAGGAAGGAATTCTGTCTTGAACCCAGGATAGCTGTTTTCATTCACCATTGGTGGTTTTAGGCAGCTGCCTGAGATACTCACACATGTGAACTTTCATGCACTTTGAACACTCAGACGAAACTGGGTAGATGCTGGGAAGTATCATTTCTCATTTTGTACGGGTGCAAAGCTGGACAGCATTAAAGCTGATCGGAAGCATTTGAATCACGCTGCCAAAGGAGAGCTTTGCGAGTATTCCAGACTGGGAGAAACAAGCTAGTGGGTCCTCAGCCACATCAAGCCAGAACTTTCCCTGGAAGTTAAAATGATGACGCTGAGTCTCCTGTCCTTTGGGCGCACCATGAGAAGGCAAGTCTTGCTGGAAAAGACAACCCTGTGAGGAAGTGTTGTGGGCAGAGGAGCAGGAGGAGCAACGACGAGACGGACGGACTCCACCAAGGACGCCACACCTTGGTGTTTATGAGAGCTGAGCAGGCAGCTGGGCAACAGAGGAGAAGGGGCACTTTGCGGCCAGTGGCTGGAGGCTATGTTGCCGTCTCCCGGGCGAGGCGGCCGGTGCCCGATGTCCCCCTGCAATGAGCAGAATTGTCCTGGCAGATAAAACTTGATTTCAGGGGAAGGCTTTGCGGTGGAGAATGCCGCTGGCGGGCAGGCGTCGGCCTGCGGTCCTGTGAGCGCCTCCTGTGAGTGTGATTCATCAGCCATTTTAGGGAAATTATTCTGTGGTTCAGCTGAACGTGCTGCTACAAAAATGCTTCCTAATGCGGCGCCTGTATTTATTTTTAGTTTTAGCTTATTACTCCTTGAACCCTGTTTTAGTTGCCTGAAATTGTAGCTGCAATTTTTTGTTCCTTTAAAAGGTGGCTCCTGTTGATTTAAGTATTTTTTGGTAGCACAAAAGGGCGTTTTTGCTTTTATTATATTCAGTATATATGCATGTAAAGAAAAGGTTGTGGCAAGACCCAGAGTGGTTTAGCTGCAGGTGCCAGGAAGGACAAGCAAAGCATGGCGCCTTTTGAGAAATGTCTGGAAGCTCTCTCGACTCAGCCCCATGGCGGGATTCGCGTAACTGCCGCAAAATAGCTTCCTTTCTCACGTGGCGCATAGTTTGCCTTCAGGTTTAATTGGCTCAGGATGTTTTGGCAGCAACTAGCATAAGACAGTTTAAAAACGGGACGGGAGGGAAAGATCTTGGAGAATGGGCCTGTCAGTGCCTGCCCGCCATTATGGATAGACCTCGAACTTTGGTGTTCGGAAGCAACGCATCTGTGGACACACATTGCTGGGGACAAACGGCGAGGGGGCATATCGTTGCACTCTGCACGGCTTTTCTGCGTCTCTGTGGTATTTTGTGGACTGTTGCTGGAGACAGAATACTGGGCTATTTATGCTGGGATCCTGAAACTCCAGGTCTGCGGGGCCAGGGCAGCCAGCCTCCCAAGATTCCACATGGCCGTCACCTGTCGCCCTGAACCGGTAGCCATTTGGCGCTTTCCTGGCCTTTGGGCAGTCCCCCTTTACCTCACCCCCAATATGTCGAAATGCCCCTCGGAAGTGTCCTTCTGGAGCCTTCGTTGATACTGGCGTTAAGAGCCTTAAGCTAAAACAGGGTGAGGCTTTGGTCCCCACCCGTTTTGTCCCACCCACTATGTGAATGTGGCCCCCCAAAGCATCTCCCAAAATCACATTTGGCCCTCAGGCTGAAAGAGGTTCAGCCTTCATCTTGTTCTGACTGGAGATGCCGGCTTTCTGGTTTTCTTCCGGTCTTTTGAAACCCTCCAAATTGTGCTTATGTAATTGAAACTGAAAAGGGTGATTCCCCCTCCGGCGTGGAGAAGTGGAAGTCATGGTGGGACGTGATTGGGTGTGACGGGGCAGATGCTATTTCAAGTGACTGAAAAAGAAAAATGCCTACTACTTCAAAAACTGATTTTCCCCCTCTTTCTTGTGTGCTGGTGTTTCTTCAGATGGGCTGGGGTGACCTGGGTGTATTTGGCCATCCCGCTAGAGAAACCCCAAACCTAGACCAGATGGCTGCCGAAGGAATGATTTTCCCAGACTTCTACACTGCCAACCCTCTCTGTTCACCGTGTGAGTAAACGTTAAAGCCCCGGGGTCACACTGTCGCCCATGAGGCATGTTGTTAAACTTGAGTCGTATTTTGCCCCTGTGATGAAGTCAGTGTTGGCAAATTGTTCTTTCCATTATGCAAAGACTGAGTTTGTATATTTCAGAATATTTGTGAACCTTTATTTCTTTATTATATCTCTATATCATCAATTAGCCAAAGCGTTCTGGGACTTTACTGGAAAAAATAAAAGCATAAAATATAGTGGAGAATGTGCTGAAGAATTAAATCAAAGATGCTTAAAACAGAAGAGAAGGAGCATCAAGATAAAATTGTGTGGCACAACGAGCCAGTGTGGTATGCTGGTTAGAGTGTTGAACAGGGGCTTGGTCAGTCCTGGTTGTAGTCCCCACTCGGCCATTAAGTTGCCTGGGTGACTGGGCAGGTCACTGATTCTTAGCCTGACCTACTCCACAGGGTTGTTGTGAGGTTGAAACGGAGAGGTGGAAAACCATGTCATTTGCCTTGGATTCCTTTAAAGAGGGAAAAGGCTGGCATAGAGACTTAGTAGCCGTACTAATAACCAGTAACCACACAAAGCTCTAAAAACGGGGCCAGCACAGTGGGTGGAATAATTAAAGCGCCTCCCAAGTGAAGCACTAGCAATGCCGGCACCTGGTACTGTAGGAACACATTTTCTAAAAAAATGAAAGCCACAGTGGAAATGCTCCTGCGAGCAGACCCCGGAAATGTGCTTGTTTCCCTGCGCAGCAGCACACCGCCATGTCTCCGCTGTCCATGACGAGAGCGGGGCAGGATGATGCTCCCACATGTGAGGCCTGTGGTGCGTGGGCATGGGTGAAACAGCGGAGCTGGGATGGGCAGATGTGCCCTCGGAGGAGGGCCCCCCAGCCGCACGATGCCGCTGCACCTCAGTGGCCTTTTCTCTTCTCTCTGCAGCGAGGGCGGCGCTCCTGACAGGTCGTCTCCCCATCCGGAACGGCTTCTACACCACAAACGCCCATGCCAGAAATGGTATGTTTTCCCACGGAAGAGGCGCAATGTTTGCAGGCCCGGCCCGGCCTGGCCCAGTGTCAGAGTCATGCCTCAAGCTGTCTGACTGAGGACGCTTCGAGGATGTTGCTCGGAAGCCCCTAAACGCACCCGCGAGCCTTCCTGAAATCAGCAGAGGGCTCCTGCCAGGCGCAGGGCTTAGCAACGGGCCGTATTGCAAGCATGTCGGCTGGGTGTTTGCCGGGTCAGTCAAGGGGGCAGGTACTGCGGGGCTTTTTAGGGGGGCAGAAACAAACTGGCGTGCATTTCTTGTTCATGCACCCCACTCTTCTCCGTTGTGCGCAGAGGAAAGGGAAATGCCTCTGGTTCTAGAGCGAACTGTAGTTCTCCGCTTCATGCAGCCTCTGGGGCCTGTGGCGCTTTTTGACCACGGTTAGCTAAATAAAGCAAGATAATCCATCCACCTGGGACTAAGCCATCTTGCAGAAAATAAAAAAAGTCCCCAGAGTTCTTGCCGCAGAGCAAATCCTGGGGCCCAAGCCTGTTTTCGCTGCTGCGGCCGAAGACATTGCTCTGGCGGATGGGCTAATTAACATTCAGCAAAAGGAAGCCGGGAACAGGGCTGCATGTGATTATTGTAGGTTAACAATCTGTCTGAAATCCACTCGTAGAAATATGTTCTTCCTGCTAAGCCGGGCAAGGGCATCTGGCGAGCACCACCAAGCTGTCCACAAAGCCAGCTTTGTTCCCACACTCCTGTTGGGAGGTGCCAGCTTGAGCTGATCGGAGGCCGATCTGGTTGGTGTGCGTGTTGTTTGTTCCAAAATGGCAGATGCTGCGGGAGACCATATGTTTTGCAGCATGCATTTACAGCTCCGGACTGAGGCAGACTGCATGTTGGCAAGTGTGGGTGTTCGTCTCTTCGCGGACAGAGGAGGGTAGCTGGTACGTGAGATGCGCGAGAGCTGCAGGGGAAGGCATGCGGCATCACCCCCGCTCGCAGTCTCTCGGGCCAGATCTGCAAGCCCTTCCTTGCTTACACGTGTGTTCTGAGCCTGGAAAACAGTGCGTCACCTCAGCCAGGCAGTTCCCTGTGGAGCCGCTCCAGTCACTGCCTGCACTGACGGTGGGTGATCCTCGAGGACTCGGGCTGTGCTGCTCCTCTCCTAAAGAGGCAAAGCGAGGGCTGGCCGGCCACGGACCCTCCCTGACTGCTGTGCCGCAGCTTTTCTTCTCTGGGGGCAACAGCCTGAGTACCGCAGCTTCTGAGCTGGTGATCCTGTTCTTCTTCATGAGAAGTGCAAATGTGTTCTAGCATGTGTGAGGCAAGAGAGCCTGCTGCGTCAGTTTGCTCCCGGTCCCACTGGTTTCTTCGTGTTTCTAAGAGCAGTTCCATGGCTCGCTACTTTCCAAGACTTGGGGGATTAACAGGTTCCTGAGAAGAGGCATTTCTAGTCATTTCACTTAATGCATGACATGACCAGAAACTTGCGGGCAGCTGCTTGGGATGTGCTCGGGTAGTATTTAGCTCAGCATGGCCCAGAGCGATGCTGCTAATCCCCGATCTGGGCTCCCTCCTCTCTCTCCTGGCCCCGCTCGTCTCTGACTCCGGCCTCCTGCTCCAATCTTGAACTGCCCTCTGGCTGGCCCTGCGCGGAGGACAGCTGATAAATCTTGTTGCTGCAGAAAGCTGCTGCCCCCCGTTTGCCAGCCTGGCTGAAGTGTTTTTGTCTCCATGCAGCCTACACGCCCCAGGAGATTACAGGGGGCATCCCAGATTACGAACTGCTCCTCCCCGAATTGCTGAAGAAAGCAGGCTATGTCAATAAGCTGGTTGGCAAATGGTAACGTGCCTTCTTACTACTCCCTTTATGTCTGCGATCTGCTGTATCCGTGCAGGAATCTGGCTCACGTCCGTCTTGGCTCCCTGTCCTCAGAAAGCCACTCGGGGCATCTCCCCTCCCACCTGGTGGGATCGCATTTCAAAGCTGAGCACTGTTAGACGCGCATAGGTAATAAACGCAACACGTTGCACTGAATTTCATCACAGACTAGAAGGCTGCGCCACCGGAGCCGGTCATAGTAACGCCTTTTTTTTAACCTTTTGCCGCCTCTGATTGTTGATTCCGGGGTGGCGGTGCTTTCCTCCGCAGCTGCTCGATTTTTGGCCCTGCTTTGCCAGCCTCAGAGCGTCACTCCCTTCCCAGCGGAAAGGAGAACTGAAGCTCGCACTCTTCCAAAGACCCACAGCATCAGCTGGGTGGGCAGAGGGTAAATGAGCGCGCCAGCAAACAAATATTGACCTGCAATCTGCCTGCGCCGCATCCCAGGAGCTCTTTTAAAGGAACTAAGAGTTGGATCATTGAAATTGATGGCAAGCCTCCACGGTGCTGGCGCAGGTGTTAACAGGGGGAATAGCGCGGGCACTGAAAACGCTTCTTTTAGATAAATCATGGTTGTTAAGGAGCAGCTCTGCAGCTGCGGAAGAGTGCAGTTTCTGAGGCCCTAGAAGGAAAAAACAGGAAGGATACAGGCCAAGGTGACGGTTTCTCTCCTATGTCTCCCCTGCCTCTTGCCTTCCCTGGCCAGTGTATGGATTTACTGCTGACAGAAAAAGCAGTGGCTAGGACGAGGATTCATACCGGTTCCCCCCCCGCCCCCCCGAGAGGATCCTTCCGGCGGGTTTTCGTGTGTCCAGGGCTTGCAGTCTGGTTTGAGCTTCTGATCTCAGAGCTCCAGCGCCTGCCTCCCGGGCGCAGCACTGCACAGTTTGGGGGCTCATGCCCCCGGGCAGCTGCATGCAGACCCAAGGCTCCGGGGCCACGCTCCCGCAGCTCCCCTCGCCTTTCTGGTTTGAGCCACAGCAGCCGGTGCCTCGACAGATTTGGCTCTGAATTCAGTCTTGTCTGTCACACAAAATGATAGTCCAGCACTACAAAGCATCTCAGTGTAGCATATACATGAGTGATTTATTTACAGATGAGTTTGGGGAATACATTCAAGGGCAGGTGTGTCCTTGAGAGCTAGTCCAGGGGAGCCTCGATTCAGTCCCGTGCCCGCAGTCCCAGCCAAGGGACGCGCTGGCTGGCCGCATTCTCACAGCCTGGCTCAGCCTGCCCAGTCGCACAAAGGGCCAGAAGGCAGGGGGTGACCGTGCGTGCTGCCCTTCGCTCCTCCGGGAAAGGACAGGATAAAAATAGGAGCAAAGTCGGAGCAGGCCTCGTCTGTGGGGGCTGGTTTGCAAGCAAGCCGGCAGACGTTCCCTCACAATCGACTCGTTTGCCACCAGAAATGCAGAGCAGGCCGAGGGAAGAAAGCAAGCGCATGGATCCAGAGCTGTGAATTATTTATTGCTGCACATCGACGCAGCAGACAGCCTGAGAAGGGGAAAAACCCGCGCAGCCCACTGAGCTGCAGGCAACGGGGCTGCAGCTGAGTGCTAATAAATGTAAATTCATATACCTGGGGAAAGGAAATAAACAGCACAGATAGAGATTGGTTCCAGGGAATTATCTCAAAAGCAGCGAATCTTGAACAACCTTAGAGCCATAGCAGAAAGCTAATTAAGTCCGTTGCTCACAGCTCGCGCGCACGGGGAGTGCGGGATCGGCCAGGCCTGGCTCCAGCAGTGCCAGCCTGTTTCCAGGCCACATGCCCCCGCTAGCGGGGCAAGGGAAGGGCAGCGCATCTGGGGCCCGGTGCACCATCCCCCGGCGCTCCTCCTGTTCCCAGCTGCCCAGGGAGGGCTCGGTGGGCATGTACAGGATCCGTGGGGGCCGTACGACTCCGTGCTGAGCCAGCCCAAATTCTGCCCAGAAAAATCTGCCTCCCGTGACATGCGGACTTCGCAAATTAAGCACCGTAGCTCCGATTCCCTCGTTTTACATCATGGCTCCTCTGCTCCTGAGAGGTGCTTCTGAACCGTGGAAGCTAACGTTGTGACCAGCTGTGAACTGTTGGCGTAGAAGTGGCCGAACGAGGGACCTTTGGAGGCTGGGGAGCGACGAGCCAGGGGAGCCAAGGGGGCTGTCTGAACTGGTTGGCTGCCGCTGGACCAACCGCCGGCCCCTCAGCCACGGGCACCTGCGTCTGGCGGGCTCGCCCAGGGCTGGCGGGACGACTGATGTGCTCCGGTGATACCCGGACCGTGACGCCTCTGTTCTTCCCTTCCAGGCACCTTGGCCACCGGCCCCAGTTCCATCCCTTGCGGCACGGATTCGACGAGTGGTTTGGATCCCCAAACTGCCACTTTGGACCTTACGATGACAAAGCAGCCCCAAACATCCCTGTTTATAGGGACTGGGAGATGATCGGCAGGTAGCCGTTTTGCTGCCTCACCTGCCCGTTCCCTGGTTCATTCTGCTTTCCTTCTGGCTTTGCTCAGCTCCTGGAACGGAGGGCCTCAGCCCCTCCCGGCTGCCCTTCCTCCCGGCGAGGCTGCAGGGAGCCTCGGGCCTCGGGGTCAGGGGCCTCCGCAAGCCACATTCTTCGGAAGCCTCCCCACCTGTCGCCATTCGTGAGGCGCGCCAGGCCCCCGGGGACCATGTGTGACAGCACCCCCGGACAGGTGCGCACAGGGACCTTGCAGTCCCCCGTGGAGATTAGACGGACCATTGCTGGGTCACGGGGGTGCTGCTGTCCCCCCCACAGGCCGTGCCACCCGGGTTCAGGGGGCACAGCCAGCCATGCCTGCGCGGCTGCTTCAGGACTCTCTTCCGCATGGGTGGCACGTGCGACTCGTTGCCCTCACGGTGGCTGTGCAGGCTGCATTCCTGTGCAGGCACAAGCGGCTTCCGGAGAAGCGGGCTGCCCATGAAGCCTCTCGCTGAGCCCTCTTCCAGTGGACTTGTTCCAGGAGGGCTCTGCTGTTTTCCCAGGGGCCGGAGGGAGTCAAGCGCTTCTCCCTCATTGCGGTAGGCTTAAAACGGTGTGGGATGTTTTTCCCAGGTCTGGCATTTTTCTTTTAGGTACTATGAAGACATAAAAATAGATCATAAAACCGGGGAATCAAACCTAACCCAGATGTACTTACAGGTACCGTTTACTTGGATAAAAGGTTTCCAAACCCCGCAGCCGTTTTCTGCAGCTGCTTGCGCACGGGCAGCGTGGGGGGCCATGTCTGACGTTCATTCTCTGGTCATTTCCAGGAAGCCCTTGATTTTATTAGTGCACAGCAAGCCAGCCAGCAGCCGTTCTTTCTGTACTGGGCGATCGATGCCACTCACGCGCCTGTGTACGCTTCCAGGGAGTTCTTGGGCACGAGCCAGCGAGGGCTGTAAGTCTTATTTATTTTCATGTTTGGGAACAGAAGTCCCTCCCCTGCCCCACGCCTCTTCCTCATTGTATTGGAGAGGAACTGGAGAGCAGTAGCAATTATCCTGGAACACCTGGGCTCCTTACTTAAAATTGAAAAGTATGTTTGTTTATTACGAAGGAGCAGCAGGTCCTTGAGAGGATTCAGCCCGGGCTGAAGGTTGCACAAACGAAAGGGAGCGCAGAGGTTTTGGTGCCGGGGCAGGGCCGGCGTCAAGGACAGGCGTGACCAGGCGCCTGCCGAGGACACGCGAGTCCCCTGCCTGCAGCCTGGGCGCTCCCCTGTCTCCCAGCTTGGCTCAGGGGCCCTGGCAGCTGGTGACAGCGGTGAGCATGTGGACCCGCTGTGCTGGAGGCCACCAAAAGCTGGAGTTCGTGCTGTGCCTGGGCGAGATCTGAGGAGGTGCCCAGAGCACAATGGCATCCGTTCACCTGGAGCACACAGTGGAACGAACACGCTGGTATTTCCCCTGCCATTTCTAAGCGTTCCGTGAGTTAACCTCCAGGGAAGTGTAAGCAGCTGCAGTCCTATTTTCACTTCCCTGAGAGTTAGCCCACTGAGCGTTCATTGTGGTTCAGAATGCAGCGTATTCAGACCTCAGTATCCTAGGCGGCATTTCTACTTTAAATGAAATATTACTGGTGAACTCTTGTTGTTTTTATAACTATTTGGACCTGGCTGGTTTCTGAAATGGGATGTTTTTATAAAACATTTTTTGTTTCTTGTAAATGTTTATGCACAAATACACGGGACTGGTGTCTGTTACAGATTACGCAAGTGTTGGGCATCCTGCCCGTGGACCGGCACATTTAGTTTTGCAATCTGTTCTCCCTGCCTCTCAGGTATGGTGACGCCGTGCGAGAAATTGACAGCAGCATTGGGAAGATACTGAGTCATCTTCAAAAACTCGGCATAAGCGAGGACACCTTTGTGTTTTTCACATCTGACAATGGCGCAGCCCTTGTTTCAGCTCCTGAACAAGGTCAGCTTTGCTGGTGTAGAACTCGTCACTTTTGGGGTAGAGAATTTGCAGCTTCATTAAGTTACAGTACAAATTCAGAAACGTTGTTTGTAAATACACGTTTCTGGTTGGTTCCTGTTTCTGGTTGAAATTAATCGTGCAGTTCCAAACTTTCCGTATGGAGGGCAAACATACCCATTGTTCCTAAGACCTAACAGCTAAGAAAAAAAGTTTGCTGGAATTCTCCCAATGGATATAAGTCCCCGGTCTGTGATTTCTCCTTTCTTCTCAGTTAATGCAAAATATTTTATAAGCACATCTGCTGAGCTCTTCTGAAAAGCTGCTAAGATGGTGGTTTCCTTGAAGGTCCAAGTTTGCCTTGTTTCGCGGGTGTTTGCTTTTTATTCCCTTTGGGCACGGTCCCGTACATTAACGGCTTGCCCGCTTTCTCTGTATTTGTCCGTGCACCTCTGCCCCCGGCTCAGGCCCAGCCAGCTCCAAGCCTGACTGTGGGCGTGCAGGACCGAAAGAGCGTCGTCTGCTTTTCTGTGCCCTTGGGCAAGTTCTGACTTCCCACAGTTCAGCTGCAAAGGACTTTGCGCACCGTCTGGTGCCTTAGAGCATCGCGCTGTTTCTTGTAGGGACCCGCGTTCCAAAAGGCAGGGAAAGCTGCCCGTCACGGATGAGCTGGTTCCGCCTTTTATGCAAATCACAGTTAATGGTGGCCTGCATGGGCTGAGGTGCGCACTTGCTGTGGTTCTCGGGGAATCATTTTGGGCATGGATTAGCCAACCCTCTCCATGGAAGTTGGGCCCTGCTGTTATCTAACGATTCTGTTAGGAGAGAAAAAAGGAAAGAGAACGGGGACCTTGCTCGTGCCCCTGCTCCCCAGATCACCCTCCAGGGAATGCAGCCCTTGATGGAAAAGCTTTCCTCACCCAGCTTCACGGCCTCCAGCAGGTCCCTGCTCTCCATCCTGCTCTCCCCATCTGCAAAGATGTGGCGGCGATTGACTGGTGACGAACTTGTTATGGTTGTTCGTTGACTAACAGACCAGTCTTCCGAGCACCCTTGGAACCTGCTTCTGTTCGGATCCAGTGTTAAGACGCAGGCAGACACCAAGGCTTGGATCCAGATTTCTGCTGGACCAACTGTGCTGGCAGAAGTAGATTTCTCCCTCCCTCCCTCCACGCAGCAGCCAGCCTACCCCTAAAAATGCTACACTGCATGTTGCGGGGTCCTCAAAATTCAGAGAAAGGGACCCTCTGTCAGGAGGGTACTTCCCTCCCAGGAAGGGCCCCGTGTCTTGCAGAAGGCAGTTCCTGGGGCCAAGGCCACGGCAGGGCGCCTGCCTCAGTGCCTCACTCTGGCATCGCCGCCAGGCTTTCTGTAAATATGCAGAGTCTTGGTGATGGGTGTTTCCTGGAGGGCTTGGAGCCGATCCCGAGCAGGGACCTGAACCAGGCCCCATTGGCTGTGCCCATCGCTAATTCTGCACCGGCTTGGCTTTGTTTCAGCTTTCTTTAGCTCTCATAAGGAGATCATGTCGAATGACTGTTTCTTCCTCCCCAGGAGGCAGCAATGGCCCTTTCCTGTGTGGCAAGCAGACTACCTTTGAGGGGGGCATGAGAGAACCGGCAATCGCCTGGTGGCCTGGACACGTGCCTGCTGGGCAGGTGAGGCTCTGAAGCGGCACCTCTTTTTTTTACAGCCCGGAAGGAGTCAGGGGAGGCCTTTCAGGGCAAAGGCCCAGGGCCACAGGAGCAGCCACAGCCTCCCGGGGCTTCCCGCGGAGGTTGCAGGGCAGGGGACAAAGAAATAGCAGCCGCTTGCAGTTGACGCTCTTCTGGAGGCATGCAGTCTTAGGAGAGGGGTTTGGCCGGCAGGCACGTCCTCCATCCTGGTGCCACAGCGTCCGGCGGCTCGACCGGGAGCTTGTTAGCCTTCTGTGCAGTCTGCGAGTCAGTAACTGCTGTGCTGAGGCGCAGGATGCGGCCGCTCCCCCAGCTGCAGGGGGATTGGAGCGAGATCCTGGCGCAGCAGGCGCCAGCAGGGAGCGCTCCTCAGGTGGCCCGCCGGCGCGCGCGAGCCGTTGCCCCAGTACTCGTGGATGGCAAGCTCACGCCGTGTCTGCAAGAGGCGGGCCTCTCCGTAAACACTGGGCGTTTCCTCCCCTTTGCAGGTGCCTCCATCCCCGAGAAAGGGGATACTCAGAATACGGCTCGTTATTAATGCCTTGTGCTCTCGGACAAACGGAACATTTCGGGTGCAATCCTAGGGTGTATTTAGGGTTCAGGCAGACAAAGGCCTACAGCTTCCAGCTTTCCTTTAGTTTCTTATTTATATTTAGATTCTATTTATATTATCTTTCAAAAATTTTAATCAAATACATAATAAGAGTGCTTCTTAATGATTTAAACCCAGTATATTGTGGACAGGTTATTTATTTGGTTTGTAGTGCTACCACAGTCCGAAGTCTCACTCTTTCACACCTTGAGAAGAGCTGCTTCGCTTTCCCTTCAGACCCTTCCTTGCAGATTCTTTGCAAGCACAGCCAGTTTCCTTGCTAGGTAGGAGACCCACGCACAGCCGGGTAAATGGAGGGATTTGAGGAACCGCCTGGGTGCCTTCCAAGCTGCTCCGACAGTCCCTTTGTGCCTCGTTTGTTGTGTTCCGAGTAGCTGCTTTCCTCTTTCGGGATCTCATCTCTTTCGAAGTGAAATCTGCATCCTTGTGCATAGATACACGAAATGTGCAGTTATACTCAGTGCAAAAATTAAGTAACATGCCACTGTTTGGGCATCTGGCAGCAGCCATCCCGGGAATCCTAGCACAGTGAAGAACGGAGGACACAGGTGTGTGCCGTGCCCAGCCATGGGGGGCCCCTAGCAGTCTTGTGCCTCGGGAACTACTGAAAGTGTTTCTCAAGATGACCTTTGACCTGCTGACAAGTATTACACTGAAGCATGAGGACTAGAAACTTGGCTTGTTCTTCAAGTAAAAGCTGAGGTTTGGCAAAAGTCGACACACATGACCAAGTTAAGAGTGTGTGCACTTGTGGGGAACTGTCAATATGTTCGGTGTGGTGGGATAGTCAGATGGGGATAAACAAAATGAAAGGCACAGAAGAGAGTAAGAGTGGGAGGTTTTGCCGTGGGATCCATCCTGGGGGTGCTTTTCCCAGGCCACAGGCCTTTGACCCCATCCCTTTGCTGTGGTTGGGCATAAGCAGCAGGAACACGCGTCTGGTGGATGTCTCCTCCCAGGCACACGCACCCACAGCCTGGCTGAATTTTCCAGGTGAAAGCCTAGGCAGTAAACAAACTTTAAAGATTTTTGCGTGCTGCCTTCTAGAAGAATCCAGCTGGCAGGAATGTGCGTTCGGCTGCTCTTTGAATCTTCCTTTTGCTCCGTCCCCTCCTTCTCTCCCCCTTCCGCTCTTCCCACCTCCCTGGTTCTGCTCCCTGAAGGAGAAAAGAACATATCAACCCAAAGACAGCACTGCAACCTTTTCTTCACTATCTCCCACAGGGCACAAATTGAAATTGAATTAGACAGGGATATCAGGCCTGCTTGCTGTGATAAATGTAAAAGGATTTTATTTAAAAACACCCTGACATTTGTTCACCCAGTTTCAAATATTTAGCTTTCCTCTTTTCCATTCCTGGCGGGGGCAACTTTATTAATTGTCGCCTTTGATTCAGAGTTAGAGCTTGAAAGCGCTGATAACGCCAGCGCTGGCTATTTCTTCTTGCAATGTGGCCCAAAGCAAAAATGATTTCGTTTTCTTAAAGACATTCTGTGTATGCTGAGAGTTTTTATACACACATACACAAGCCCATATATATATATATATATATATATATAAAAAAACCTCTTCTTAACATGCGTAATACCGGCTGTTCCTTGCTGATATGGAAAATATCTGATCTTGCTCCTCTGTTTTTCATTATTTATTTTTCATTGGGCTGTTAGTCTCTAGAATATTATCCCCCTGCACCACTGGTCTTGTTATGGGAATGGCAAGTCAAATGAAAGAGTGCTGTCAACACAAGAAAATGCTAAATTTTTCCCTGTTTCTCCTCTGAAAATACTTCAAAGTTTGTATATAAATAGTAACCTCCTCCTGTTTCCCCCCCTGTTCTGCTCTCCCATGTGGTGCTACAGATAAATCCAAGTGGCTGTAACATTGACGTTTAATTTCCTTTAAGAAGTTTGCGCTCCTTTACATAGAGAGGAGTATGTGAGGCCAGGGGTGTAATTGGCCGTTCCTGTGAGCCGCCTGCTCCAGGCCCCGCTCAATAGCAAGGGACCGAGGAGGAGGAAGTCGCCGGGAACTGGCTGTCCTGCCTGTGCCCTGCAGGAACTGACGCCTCAGAGTAACCAGCATGATCTGTCAGGGGTGACCTTCAGCTGCTCCCCCACCCAACCCCGCAAGCTGACATGGTCACATCCAGCCCCGGGGAAGCCCTTGTCCGGCTGCTGCCTCCCCGACATCCCTAATCCAGATGTTGGTCTGGGAGTGTGGGGAGGGACGTTCCCTGCTTCCCCAGTGCTGCTCCGGTGGCCCTGGCAGCTGGCCCCAAGCGCCTTTGGGCGTAAGAGTCTCCAGGTCAGCCGGATTGGCCTCCCACCCCCCACCCCCCGAGGGTTACCAAGAAGCTTGGTGCTTGGCCTTGCTCTGAGATTTGTCCGAGTGCCCGGCTGCCCCCGCTTTTACTTTGCTGCACGTGTGAGAGGAAGGGGTGTGGCGTGAATGGATGCACGCAGCCTCCACAGGGCGCTTGTGCTTGTGCTTGTGTGTGTCGGGAGTAGCGCATGTGTGTGTGGGTGGAGGGAGTGTGCGGGTCCGTGGCGATCCAGAGCTGAAGAGCAAGGGAGAAGTGGGGGGATGAGGGCGAGCGAGAGAGCGCCTTCCGCCTGTGAAACGGGCTTCTGCCAGCTGTGAAAACTGGCTCCAAGGAGCCGTCCCCCGCCTCTGCCCCATGCTCAGTCGGGCGCTGGCTTGTCCTCGGGGTGAGTCTTGTTTCCCTTCGCGGCGATTTTGTGCCGGGGTGCAAGAGGGGTCCTGGAATGGCAGCTGGGCTGAGGGCCCCCAGCACAGGTGGGCGCGGGCAAGGGGGACAGTGCAGCTTCCTGCGTCCCTCAAGACTCCTCCCGGGGCCCGCCTCGTGGGGTGGCGACTTGCGTGGCAGCCCTTCTCGCTGGGAGCGAAGTCCTCCCGGCGGTGGCCTTTGTGCGCACTTGTGTGTCCACCCCCTGTGTGCAGACGCGCTTGTCTTGTCGATTGCAGGCGAGCCATCAGCTGGCGAGCGTGATGGATCTGTTCACCACAAGCCTCGCGCTGGCAGGACTGCAACCTCCCCGTGACAGACAGATCGACGGCATCGACCTTTCGCCTGTCATCCTGCAAGGCAAGTTAATTGACAGGTGAGTTATGAACACCAGGCTCGCGGCTTTCCATCTTGTGCCTCCTCCACGTATTGGCACAGAGCAGAAACTCCGGGTTATTTTTAGAGCCTATTCTTTTAGGAACAGGTCTTTCCCCCGCCCTTCATCTTCTGGAGAAGCAAGTCGCTGAGATCTACAGCTTTTTTGAGGCTTGTTTCTGAATCCCAAAGTGTGTATCTTTTCCACTGTGGCTTTTCCCAGATACGCACTGGCCAGGTTCCTTCACAGGACGCCTCAGCTAGGAGCGATGAGGCTTAAAACAGGGGTGGATGTGTGTGTGGGGACCCTTTTGTACAGGGGAAGGCCTGCATGCTGCCACGAGCTTTATTCCTATACGTATTTTAAGTATTTTTCTCCCACTCTTCTGCCAAAAGGGCTCCGGGAATGGCTTGGGTGTATAATGACACCCAAGTTTACCCTGAAGGCCAGTAAATAGCCTCCCTGCGTGAAGCTGGACCGTCCTGCAAGCCTTTTGCTAAGTGGAAGATCAGTGCAGCCATGGCAAGGGAGAGCATGCAGGATTTCACCCTCGTAGGCCAGAGGCCGAGTCCCTCTTCCACCCTCCAGACACACTGCAAAAATGGCTGCTGTCGCTCTGCATTTGTCCAGTGTGGGAAGCCCCTCTTCCCCTTTGCCTCTCGCGATTCCTTTTCAGAACAGTTGTGGTTCGGGAGAGGGACCTGGGGTGCCCGTCATCGTCATTTCCCTCTCAGCTTGCCCCTCATAGTTCCAGCACCATTGTGTTCACACGTTTCCCATTCATCTTAAAAAGTGTTTTCACTGGAACCTCCCTGAGCATTCAGCTTTGGCCTGTTTTCCTGGGACAAGCGTTTCCTCCTGTTCATTTCTGAGTTGGGTATTTGAAAGGAATGCTGAATATACACCTGTTGTTCGACGGTCCCTGCCTCACGCTCTGTGCCTGGGAGATCCCAGTTGCATTCCCTGCCACGGTCAATTAAAAGGCGGACGTGGTCACAGGGAGGGATGAGACCTCTGAGCCTGAGAACGTCTGCAGTCGGAAGAGACAGCGTGGGGTGGACAGCTGGGCAGGCCTGCTCTGAGGCGATGCAGCGCGCAAGAGAAGTGCTGGTTATGGGAGGAGAATTCTTAAGGAGATTGTGAAATGACTGGAATTTTGCAAGATAAGAGAGAAGCCACCGCTTTCAGCTCAAGGGAATTAGTAGCATGTTAATGGTTCGATGCACATGCGTGAATGCACAGAAGGGGGAAAGGGTCGCTGATGAGGGAGGGGACGGGCAAGGAAACATCCCAGTGAGAGAGATGGCGAAACATCTGCTTCAGCATAAGCAGGGAACAATTAGGAGACTACATTAGTTCCTCTCTAATTAGGTACTAAGTTTCATACACAAACGGCAAGAAGCGAGGAAAGGTCAACGACCAGTCAAGGGAGGGAGGACAGATTATTTTTACCCTGTTTTCTGAGCATGCTCCTAAAACCGTGCATAAAATACAGACTAGATGTGTCTCTGATGTCGGCACTCGCTGGAGCTTCAAGAGGGCCTGCGTTCAATTAGCAGTTGATCTGCATCGTGAGCCTTGAAAACATCTGGCTGTTGGTGTCGGCACGAATGGGGAAGTTTATCTCGCATTCTTTACGAACAAGCGCAGGAAGGGCATGGCTTCAACATTCTGTTCCTGTGATTTCTTGTGACCTCGCCAGCGTGGCTAAGTGCGCGCGCTCATACTGTCCTTCAAACGGCAGGTGGAGAAAATAATTACTTCGCTATTTAACCCGACACCCTCCGTCCCGCAGCCAGCTTGCCCGTGTTCGGAGCAGATGTGTACATCCTGCCTTTCTACGGCCGCATGCAGGAAATCTGGCCTCTGCATGTTCTGCAACTCCATCACACAGGGGCCTCTCTTTTTGGAGTATTTTAAGTCATTGGGCTCTGTGTGAAATTACACGGTCTGGTAGTTCAGGGATTAACAATCGCTGGCAAGACAACTTGCATAACGTTTCATTCTTGCTTGTGCAGCTCCGGCTCTCGCCTTGATGAACACTTTAAAAAATGCTAATTGAAAACCTTGCGGCAGAGGCTATTAGAAAACAACCTGCTCCTGACTGATAGCTGAGTTGCCAGGCTCCGCTAAAGAGTTTGTCTCCCTTATCTCTGTGGCTGCCAAAGAGAGCGAGAGAGAGCGAGAGCGAGAGAGAGCGAAGCCGCTTGTTTGGACACATGGCATTTCTTACGAGACTGTACATCTCTCTTTGTCCCTTTCTTCCTCATCCCCTCTCTCAATTAGGCCAATATTTTATTACCGGGGCAATGAGATGATGGCGGTACGGGTTGGACTTTACAAAGCCCATTACTGGACCTGGAGCAATTCCTGGGAGCAGTTCAGCCAGGTAATTGAAAAGCCTGCTTGCCTGCCTGCCCGCCCGCTCTCCTTCCCATGGAAATGCCCCCACAAAGCGAAAATTGGACCTTGATCACTTCTGCTTTGCTCTGTCTTCAGCTTGTTTTAACTCGAGGCATGGTTCCAGGGAAGTGTTGCGTAAATTCAGGGCTGGCACTCGGGGGGGCCCCCCGCCCATGCACCTGCCGCATGCAGGGGCTACCCAGCTCTCCTGGTCCAAGGTGCATTTGTGTGGCATCCTCAGGAAGCCCGCGCTGTGACTTTTCCATCTTACGGGGTCCAGGGGTTCTCACTGCACAGCGGCTCCTCCGCAGATGACCCCCTCCCCGCACATTGCCACCAAACCCACCCACACGGACGAAGGATCTGGGGCATTTTCCAGCGTGTGCCCACGGGCAGACCGGCCAAGCTCCCCCGCTGTCCTGCATGCGTTGGCAGTGCGGCTTGGCACACGCCCTGCAAGCCTGTCCTCCGGGCAAAACGACGCAGCGGCAACCTGGGGAATCTCCGGCACGACCCTTGCCGGAACAGCCGTGGCACCACATGCATTCACTTTGCTGTCAGCCTGCCAGACGCATCGTGCTGCCAGTTGTGAGCTGCCCCAGAATGTAAGGCTTTGGGTTAGAACAAGGGGGAATTGCCAGCAGCAGCTCCGGTTACCCAGCAAGGAACGAACCGTCGCTCTGCTTCTTTGGGAGAATGGGACTTGGCAAGAACTCAGTTCTGTGCTGGGCTGTGCCGAGGCTCAGGACCAGGCACCGAGCCCCACCGTGGGCACGCAGAGGCCCTCCGCTCCTTGCGGCACTGCTAGACGCCGCCCGGCCCCTGCTTCCCTCCACCCCTCCAGCAGGAATTGGCGCGCCCTGCTGCCATGTGTGGGAGCCTCGGCCGCCCGCCTGAACAGCCTGGCCGGGGCATCCGGGGAGCTGCGGTCCAACACGGCTGGAACGCCCCAGGTGAGGGAAGGCACTTGAGAGGCAGGCGCATTTCCCTGCAGCACCCGGTCTCTCGGGGTGTTTCGTGCACCAGAAAGAAGCGGGGAGGAACTGGGGATCACACGTGGCCAAGGGAGAACTTCGCTGTGCCCCAGCAGGCCACAGGCTGGACGCCGTGTAGCCTGGAAGGCCCTTCGGAAAACGCCCAGCTATAGGGCGCTCCGGTCTGCGTGGGTGCGAGAGTCGGCCCTCCGGAAGGGATTCCTTTCTTCTCTCCCCCACTGCTCCTCCCCACCAAGGGGCTCGCTTTCTCTTTCTCGCGGCAGCTTTCTCTGCTTGCTCCCATCCACCTCTCTCTGGCCATTTACAACATCCTTGCAACTCGCCACATTCTTCCGGCCTTGGAGTTTGTGCCTATCGGGAATGTAGCATTCGTGCTAATCCTGCCAGCATTTTTAACTGCACCCGGAGACGGCTTTGCTTCGCTCCCTCATGCCTGGCTTGTGCCGAAGGGCGCTTGCACACAGCTTTCTGGGGAGAACGGGGTGGTTGGAAATTTGGGAGATCCATTCGTCTGGAAGTGGGGGGGGTGTGGCTGTATCCCCACTGGTGCAAAGATGGCGAGTCGGAACAGCTCAGTGGTTTCTCTGCTGCAAGTTAAGCATCTAGCAGACGCCCTGATGGTAGGAATCAAAGCAAAAACACCTGCGCTTGACCCGAGCGTCTTGTAACACACCTTCCTCTGCGTGTGTGTGTGTGAGTGTGTGCGTGTGTGTAGCTGTGATAATGGGGGCTGGTTACTCATTCCAAGGTTATCCTCCTGTGAGCAGTGGCAGACATGCAATTAAGGAATGTTTATTTCTTTCTAAGTCTTTGTTTAACTGCTAGTTGATAAAAGTCAGCAATTATACTGTACATCAGAGGGATGATTAAAAATTCATTTGCTTTCCTGCTGCTTGTGTCGTCTGTGGTTGATGGGGGTAAAATTGGAGCATGGAATTAGTGGACAGAACAGCCATTAACAAGATGCCAAGGGTGCTGGGGTTAAAATTTGTTGCAATTCTTCTTCTGGTGCTCAGACATTAATTACAACCCTGGTTGGCTTTTTTAAAATAATAATGATGATGATTAGAATGCTGAATAACATCGTGCATTCGATTGCAGATACTTGAAGCACTCCCAAGGTTTAATTGCTGCACAATCTCCTTTTCACTGCCTCCGGTTTCCTTATCAATATTATTGATACTGGGGCTGGGAGTTACAGAAGCTGGCGTGACTTTGGCCTGCTGGTTTCATTGCAGAACAGGAGCTTTAATGCGTCCGTTTCCAGGGACGTCAGAAAGTCCAGCTTGTGGCGGAGCTGCATTGCCTTCCTCTGGAGCCACAGCTGAGGAGAGTCGCTTTGGCTGAGGGTCGCTCTTGGGTCTGCTCTGCGGCGCATCACTGGCCGCCCGATTCAGAAACTGGACCACCCTGACCTGAAGGGGACTGCAAGCCTTGCTCTCCCCTTCTCGGGGCGGAAGCGCGTCCTCGAAGCCTGTGCGAGCAGAACGGGGGTGCCCCAGCTCAGAGCTGTGGGGATGGGAGCAGTGTGCTCACCCCTCGCGTCTCTGTCAGTTCTGTTGGTCTCCAGCCAGTAACGAACACGTTGATTTCCGGTGGCGATGAGCGTTATGGGCAGAGTTCAGAGACCCTGTTTCCTTCCTGCGCATCTACTCGTAAGAGCAGTCTCTGAGTGCTAAACCTGGGCTTCCGCTCTGGAGGTGGAGACTGGGTGCCGACCTGCCCGTCTTCGCTCACCAGCCACGGTTCTCCTTCCTACAATCCTTTCGACTTCTCTTCCTTGCTCCCAAAATCCCTTTATGTTTGAATTCATTCTCCGGTATTCCTCTTCCTGAGATCCGGTGCGAGCGCCATGCCTCAGTGCGGACTGCTCCTGCCTCCCGAAGCTGCGGTGATGCTTCACCTTTCCTGGGCGGCCTTTGTCATCTGCATTATCGTCTTTGCGTTCTTTCGCCCCGCGGGCATGTGTGTGTCCACACACCTGGATGCACACACGCTCGCCCTGAGCCGCTGCGCTCTCATTTCAGCTCTTTCCCTGTCAAAGTCTGTCTTCTGGCTCAAACACCCTGGCATTTCCTCCTTGCCGGACAATGCATATAAACATGGTTTTGCAAGCCCCCGTTTTCCTCGGAGCGGCAAGAGAAGAAGTGCGAGTCCATTCAACAGGAAATCTGCCCGGCTAATGCAAACCCGGCAGTGCGGCTTGACAATGGCGAGTGTGCTTGTGTTGGGCATGGTTGCTCACCTGCCGTGCACCCCTTGGGAAAGAGCAGTGGTCGTTCTTACCTGTTCCTTTCAACCTGTCCTAACACTTGGAAGCTGATGAATAGGTTGTGCTGAGCAGGAGGGGGGCTTAGTGCAGGGTGGGGGGTGGCATGCAAGTAAATGAGAAATTCGAGTTGCTAGTTTTGGGGGCCTTTTTATTTTCTGGGACAGAAAGGTAGGAAACTAACTCTCTTAAGGCTGCGTCCCTGCGTGGAGGAATCTGTTTGCGGGTGCCCTAGGAAAGAGGAGTCCTTGGAGCTGTTTCTGGATGGGCAAAGGGCCCATAGCCACATGTGTTGGTTCAAGCTAGACGTATCCCAGACCCCCTCCCTGATCTCCTCTGTTGCCCCTAGAAAGGGGCAGAGCAGGGCGAGCCCAGGCCCAGTTTGCTGCAGGTCCCCATTGCGGGTACGAGCGGCAGAGTAGCTGTCCCATCCTCGCGCCATGAGGAGATCGGCTTTCTTTGAAGCGGGCTTTGCAGGGGCCGGGAGCCAGAAGGCACTTCTGCAGCCCTCCGGGTGCCGAGGCCAAGCTGGGACCGGCCCTCCCCCTCCACAGCCCTCCTGCTGCCCCCCCCCCCCATTTCCAAGCCTGCCATGCATGAGGGCAGGAGGCGCACAGCTCAAACGCATCCAGTCTCGGTGGACGGCACGTGTCCGCAGCCCATGGCCCGCTCGGGGCATTTTTATTTTGCTGTTCCTTACGGAGCCTGAGGGGGTGCACTTGGTTGTCTCTCTCACATGTGTGTGCGCATGCACAAATGCACACACACACTTTTACCTGCATGACAACCCCGGGAAGCACATGAGGCTGAGAGATTGACCGGCGCAAGGTCACCAGAAGTGCTTCGTGAATGAACCCAGCCCGCCCGTCTCCGTTTCCAGCGCGTCCCCGTGCCGGCCCTCTGCTCTCGTTAGCCAGCCGTGCCACTTTCTCCGCTGGAGGCAAAGGCCCCTCTTGGCTTTTCCCGGCCTGAAGAGCCCTTCCACGGACCCTGCCCGTGTCCCCCCGCGCCGTGGCCGTGGCCGCAGGCTTGGGAGGGAGAGGTGTGCTCCAAAGGCTCCGGCTGGGTAGCCCCCGAACCTGCAACTTCGCCTGCTCCCTGGTGCGTCAGCTGCCTGCCTTGTCAGCGTCCAGGCCTTTTTCTGAGGCAGGGAGGCCACTGTGCATTTCAAAAGCCGGCGTGTGCCTGCGGAAGACCCCCATCGCTCTGCTCTGAAATGCCAGAGGGACGCTTCGTGCCGCAGCCTTCCCCGACTGCCCTTCTCGCCTGATGCGAGGCGATCGATAGCGCCTCTTCTGCGGGGCGGGGGTGTGGTGTGAAGCCGAGCGGGGCCTCACAAATAATGACATGTGGGCTAGCCATCGATCGCTTCTGCTTGGGAGCTGATGGAGGCTTTCTGATTCGCCCCCCTCCCCCAGCCCCTTCCAGACAGTTAACGCGTGAGGAGTGGTTTTTGTCCGGTGGGGCTGAAGCAGCAGCTGCGGAGAAGGAGCCGCACTCGTGGCCTTTCCGGGGGCGGGGGGGGGGGGGCCCAGCCAGTACCCCAGTCCTCCCTGACCTGGAGCACTCCAGATGCCTTGAAAGTTATTGTCCCAACATGTCTGGGGGGTGGCAGGCTGGGGGAGGCTGCTGGACCCTTGCCCTCCGCCCTCTGGAGCAGCCACTGTGGCCGGCCTGCGAGCCCGGTCGGGCTGCGGACTCCTGGCTGAGCCGGCCGGCCCCTTCATCGTTCCTTCCCAGCAGGGCTCCCTCCTGTTGCTCCGCTGTCCTTCCGCGGAGATGGAGCCCCTCAGCCGGAGGACGGAGGCTGCCCGTGCCGGGGAGGCTCTGCAGCCCACAGCCGCCTGAGGTGGCGCCCAGGCGAGGGCCAGTTGTGGACGCAGGCGGTGGCCACCCGGCCACTGCCCGCCAGCTCACCTCCTGCGTCTGTTTCTGCGGCCCATCGGCGTGCAAACTGGAGGCGTGAGCCGGGCAGCTGCCGGGCACTGTGGCCAAGGTCTCGCCCACACCTCTGTGTGTGTGCGTGCGTGCGTGCGTGTGGGTGGGCAGCCAAGTGGTGTTCCTGGGAAGCAGTGCAGGGTGAGACGGCCACCTCTGAAGCAAGCCAGGGCTGCCGCTGCGGGAGGGCTTGGAGGAGAAAAGGGCTCGTGCTGCTTTGCCCGGGGCGGCCTTGTCTGTCGCGTTTTGGCTTTGGGGTGCGCCCAGTGGCCAAGCTGGCACATTTTGGATCTAGAAACTGGGAAGGGGAGGGAAAGCGGATGGCAGTGGCTCTCTCTGGCAGGACCATTGGTTGTGCTTCTGGCTTTATGGTAAGTGAGAGTGAGGTTGGGGCCACCGCGGATTGTGTGCCTCCGTTTGAAGGCGCCTTCACACGCCAGGGCTCCTGCCCTAGAGAGGCCGCTGTGGGTGTGTCCAAAAGCACCCTGGGGGCAGAAGCACGGGAGAGCCAGTGTGGCGTAGTGGTTAAGAGCGTGGGACTGGGACTCAGGCGACCCGGGTTCAAGTCCCCGCTCAGCCATGGAGCCAACTGGGTGACTATGGGCCAGTCACAGCCTCTCAGCCCAGCCTACCTCGCAGGGTTGTTGTTGTGGGGATAAGATGGAGGAGGAGAATGATGCAAGCTGCCTTGAGCCCTTTGTAGGAAAAAGGCAGGATATAAAGCAGGCAAGCACTTGGCCCAGTCCCCCGCTCAGAGGGTCCGGCTGCTCTGGCCGGATTCCGGCAACCTGACAAGCCCCTGCCGGGGAGAGAAGCCACCAAGACTCATCCTACTGCGTGACCCCCCCCCACCTTGGTGCCAGCTGACACTAAGGCTCCACCTTGGGTGCCTCGGCTAAGGATCGAGCCCGTTTCCTCAGCATTAATCTCCAGAGCGCAGCGACTTCTCTTTCTCTGCATGTATTTGAAGTGCCCTGCACTGCTGCTCAGCCAGGGGGGCTGCCAGAGCAACTTACGCAGAATCCGTGTGCCGTGCGGTCCGGGTGTGTTTAGCCAGAAGTCGGCGTTACGGCTCCCAGCAGCTCCCAGCAGCAGTGCTGGCCGTCGCATCCTCGGCGTTTTTATTTGTTTTTTCCTGTCTCAACACACGTAGGATGTCACCCTTAATTAGGCAGCCACTGCCCTCACGCAGTCTAAAAAAACAAAACAAAACCCTTGACACCCCGGAAAGAGGAATGGGGAAGGAAGAAAGAGAAAGGAATTCCTTCAGCAGGGCTGGTGGGGTGGCCTTGCTCTTTCTGCCACATCCCCTTTAGTGCACGTAAGCAAAATGCCTCATTAATCTGAAGGAACAACCTTTCCCCACTTAGAAAGCAGACTGGATGCCCCCCGCCCCCCCCCGTCATTCACACCAATCATCCACACCAGTCCACTGAAACCGCGGGGCAGCGTGGACACGGGGGCAGCCAGATTTCAAGCGGAACAAGATGGCTGCAGGGTTTTGAGGCACAGGACCCAAAGTGGGGAGGGAGCCGGCTGGGAGCCGGTGCTCCCCCCCCACCCCCGTTGCTGCCTTGAAAGGGGGAAGCAGCCACCACCGCCGCTGCCCATTATGTCCCTTTTTGCTGGCAAGAGCGAGGGCCAGGCACGGGCGTGGGGGCAGCGTCGGCCACGGCTGGTGTGCTTTCCTGGCTGGAAACGGCCACTGTTTGCATGATCCCCATTTGCTCCTGGAGGGGGTGACCTGCTCCTGGTCGCCTAGAGGTAGCTTTTCACCCACCGCAGGCGACTAGTTGAGTGACTCAGGACAAGACCCTGTGAACGGGAGAAGCCTTGTGGGGCTCTGTCAACAGAGCAGCTTGGAAGTGAATACCCAGACAATAAATTTCTTACCTCAAAAGAAAACATTTGCACGAGAGGAGCACTTTACTAATTAGCGGGCTCTTAATTAAATAGCCTTTTTGATTTGCATCCAAATTACAACTTGTAAGTTATGTCTTGGCTTTGATTAGCTGTTGTCATCGCTGTCTTTTTCTCCTTTCCCCCTGTTTATGCTTTCAAAATTCCACTTTGCACAAACGCAGCCCCCGCCTGGTCTCCGAGGGCTCCGGCGCCAGAAGGTAGAAAGGTCGGTCGCCTCCACATGCGTTTAAAAGCCATTACGGGTTGCCCGCTGCAGCTTATCACGCAACGCTCTCTCACTTTCTCTCCCTCTATTTTTCCAGCCACTGATTCAGGAATCTATAGCTCTGTGCAGGTAAATGGGATTTCATGGGCTTCTAACCTTTCTTACTTTATTGAAAAGCAGAATATTAACTGCTCCAGTGACCAGCCTGTCCATTAAAGGCACACGGGATATTTTTAGAAAATTATTTGCCAATCAAATCCCCTCCGTCGTCTGCAGAGAGCCGTTCAGCCCCGTGCCCGTTGCGTGCACAAGCCGCACGACCGCGCTGCTCCCCCCGCAAGTTAGCCTTCCCCACGCAGTTGCCCTCCAGAGGTATCCGACCGAAGGCCATGCTGGTTGGGGATGATGGGAGTTGCAACCCGGTTTATGGCTATATATCCATTATATATTTAATCTGCCCGATAGCCAGCTTTCTCTGGGCCGATTACGAACAGGTGTAAGGCTAAAATGCCCCCGAACGGGTAAAGCGCACGGACGTTATTCGTTTAAACTTAATCTTGGCCGCCTTTCGGCGCAGGCACCCTCGCAAGCCCGTGCACAACGATGAAGCGCAGGCCAAGAACAGACGCAGTGCTGCACTAGCAGGAACACGGCGGAAGGTGCGGCGCAGCTGCGGCTCAGCACACCTGGGGGGCTGCGGTGGGGCGTGTGGCCCGCGGCCGGTGGTGAAGACCCGGCCGCGGGGAGGCTGGAGCAGAAGGCCTGGGTGGCCGGCCTGCCCAGAGCCTGCCAGGAATTCCACTGGGACGGGCTCTCCGGCAGAGAGGCCTCTCGCCTCCCCCGCCCCCCGCCGCCCCCGGCTGCCTCGCCGTCATTCCAGGCAACCAGAGGTGGGGATCGGTGCAGGTGTGTGGAGCTGTTGCTAGGCGACCGTGCGTGCGCTCTCGTTTCCCCGGAAGGTGGGAAGGTGGGGGGCCTTGCATCCACTCTGTGTCCCCCCCAACCCCAGGTAGAAATGCAGCTTGGGTCTCGGCACACGTGTGGATAACCAGTTGGCCACACAGCCTCTTCTGAAGCCTTGTCTGAGCCAGTGTCTCACGCTGCTGCTTCTAGTTTGGCTCGGGGTTGGGAGCCCCACGTTCAGGGGCCAAATGCCTCCGGCTCCTCTCACCACTGGGGTGCAGCCTCCAAATGTTTCTCCAGGATGGGATTCTGGCCGTGTCACTGCTCGCTCGCCAGGCGGGGCAGCCGGTGCACGGAGCGGTGGGCTCGGTTCGGTTCGGTTCTGCCCCCAGCCATTCCTGGCTTTTGCGTGCGTGCGTGCGTGCGTGCGTGCGTGCGTGTGTGTGTGTGTGTGTAATGATCCGAGGAAGGGTTTCTTGTCCCAAGGAATCCCGGCAGGCTGCTTGCGAGTGTCTGGGAGATTCTGGTGATGATTCCTTCGTCGAGAGAAATGGTTTCCGCCTTCGGCAGTCATCACTGTTGACACATTCCAACTTGACAGCCTCACGAGCCTTATGAAATCAACAACCTTATGATGAACCCTATGAACGTCTTAATTGGCTTCCAGGTCATTAAGGCATTTTGGTCTAAGCAACACCAGTGCCTGATGAGGACCGGGGATCTTCCAGGCCCCCTCGAGCAGCCCCCCAGGGACTCCCCGCCTGCCTTTCCCCCAGTTCTTGTCACTAATCCTCGCGAATTACTCTGCTCATTCATGCAGGGCATCGATTTCTGCCCCGGACAGAATGTAACTGGAGTAACCACTCATGATCAAGAGGAGCACTCAAAACTTCCGCTGCTGTTCCACCTGGGAAGAGACCCAGGGGAAAAATTCCCGATCAGGTGAGGCAGGGGTGTGTTCACTGGCGCACTGAGGTGAGTCCGCACTCTCGACAGAGAGGAAGCCGAAGGAACCGATGGGGCTGCCCTTGGACTGTTCTGCCGCCTCCTCCGGGGAAGGGGTGCAAACTGCTGGGCAGCGTGGCCAGGTCTGTTCTTCAGCAGGGAAAAGTTTGCGAGTATCGCAGGTGCTTGTAACCGCCAGAGCAGGGTGGGGAACCTTGCGGAGCTCGAGCAGAGTTGCTTTTTGGACAAGCTCTTGGGCCTCCTCCTAGGGGTGGGTGGGACCCTGAGCAGAGAGGGGGTGCCACGCCACCAGGGGCAGGGGGGTGCAGGTGGGCACGTGGCTCCAGCACAGAAGAGGCTTGGTGGAGTGGAGGGGCAGCTGCCTCTCTGCGTGTGCAGGATGTGCTGTGAACCGCCCAGAAAACTTGGGCGACAGGCAGCACAGAAGCGGAGCGACCGTGCCTTGCGTCTCCGTCTCCTGCGAGGAGCCAGGGTGGCTCACCCAGCGCTGTGTTACCCTCACAACAGCCCTGCGAAGTAGGCGAGCCTGGCCGCGAAGGAGCGGCCCAGAGTCACCCAGGGAGCTTCATGGCGGGTGGGGCTTGAGCCCGGATCGCCCCGCTGCGCAGCCCCACCCCGCGAGCAGGCACGCCATGCTTCTGAGGTGCGGGAGGCTCCCCGGCGGCGTCCCTGAGCACCAGAGGGTCTGCACACACCCTTTTCTGGGGGCTCACTTGGCTACCTGCCCCCGATGGGCGCTTCGTTTCCTAGGGCTGTCTCCGGCTCAGTTTCTTCTTTAAAGCCTAGCCAGACAACCCCCCGAAAAGGAAGCTGAGCGATGGGGCGGAGGAGGAAGGGAGCATGCTAGGAGTTCCACGGGGGGCACCGCCAGGAAAGCCCGTTGCCGAGTCAGAGCACAGAGGCCGGTGTGTGTCGGTTGCTGATCACCTGGGCCCCAGCTGCCTGGTTCTCGGGGCGCGTTCCATCCCCCCCCCCCCAGGACCTCGTAGGCCGAAGGCCGTGTGCGGCTTTCCCAGCATCTCAGTCCAGCGTTGAGCGAGCAGTCGGGCCCTGGACTGCCATGTCCTGTCCTGTTTCAGCAGGGCTCTGCCTGGGATGACACGGAAGCAACCCAGGAGAGGAGGTGTCTTCATTGAACCCGCTTGTAATTGTGCGCACCTCAAAGGTGGTTTTTTTGGGGGGGTGCAGACGCCTTCTCCGGCAAAGGCACCTCTGCTTGTGGATCCCACCCTGCCGGCTTTCCTCCTCCTCGAGTTGGGGGAGAGTATGAGGAATGCAAAGAAGCAACTTTGCAGCCCGGCGATCGTTGCTCAAATTCAGTCGCTACCAAGAGGTCCGTGAGGCTGGAAAGGGAGTGTGAAGGACTGCAAGATTAAGAGCGCAATGGCCCGGGGATGCAGGTGATCTATTACAGGCAGCCCCGTCCTGGGTTCTCGCCGCGAGCCGCAGCGGGGTTAACAACACAGCGCGTGGCGTCCGGCTTTGCTCAAAGTGGGAGGGCGATGAGGGCAGATTGCCGGAGCGCAATTACGCTAAATGAACCCAGCGCACAGCACACCTGTGCCTGGGAGCACTCGGCTCCAGTCCACCCCGATTGGCTCTCCGGGGACCACCCAGAGGTGACGTGTCAGTTGCCGTAATGACCCTGGCCTCTGTCCACTCGCTCCTTCGGCCTGAGCGCGGAACGATTCTGCGCCCCGGGGGGGCCTTGCTGGGCGACGCCTCGGCCTCCACCTGCTCACCCAGCCCGCTCGCCTCTCGTTCTCCCGCTGCGCCTCCCACCCTCCCTCTAGCAGCACAAGGAGGCGGAAGGCGCACGTGGGGGCCGGGGGGGGGGGCTCGCCCAGTGGTCCCGACCTGTACAGGCACGCTGTGGAGGCGGCTGCTGGTTGGCGTGGAAATGCCCGTGTGTCCCGGACGCTAATTCCTGCCCCAGGCGTTGCCCTGGTAAAACAGAGGCGGACGCGATCCCCCGGGGTGTGGCGCCCCTCGCTTCACAGACGCGTGCTGCTTTGGCGCGCCACATCACCTGGAGCCGAGACGCCCTCCCCTGCGGCATTTATTTATTTATTTATTCATTCATTCATTCAGCCACTGCGATTCGCCACAGTTGTGGGCTGGGGGGCCCGGGTCGCCCTGCTCTCGCTCGGTGCCCACCTGGCCTCCACACAGACCTGGGGCCGCGTCCTTCCTGACCTCCTGCAGGCCTCCCCCTCCCCACGCGTGCATGACAAGTGTTTAAGGTCCCACAAATGCTTTCCTGTCACTCTGAAAAAGCGTGAAGGGGGTGCCCCAGAGCTCAGGTGTTTTCCCGACGTGGAATTGGCGTGGCCACGTAGTGGCTGACGTCCTGCTCCGCGAGTCCCTGGTTCAAATTTCACCTCAGCCTCTCGTGAGGTGGCCTTGGGCCAGCCCATATGGACGGTCAGCCCCCCATCGCTTAAGGGATGGACGGACAGACGGCTGAGATCATGGATGGGCCACTGGAAGGGGGCCAGGCCGTTTCTGCCTCTGCCGCAGCCTTTCCCAGCCTGGCTCCCCCGATGCCTTGGACGGCACGTCCAGTGGGCCCCGGGCTGGGGAGGGCTGCTGTTCGCAGGGCACGGTCGCCCATCGTGAGATTCTCCTCCACAAGACGGGGCAATGCGGGGGACCCTGAAAGAGCTAGACAGGGCCACATCCTGTCCTTGGAACGTCGGTTCCTGCAGGCCGCGTGCCCCTTGATGCCAGGTGCTGGGGAGCGAGGATGGGCGACGGCGGCTCCCCTGGGCCTGGCGGAGGCTCCTCCGGGAGCAGGCAGTCGGCTCTGGATTAGCTTGGCCCAGCCTTCCGTCCCCACCAGCCGGTGACTCTCCTGCAGGACCTTTCGGCAGCAGCTCGGCGCTCCTTCGGAGTGCGGGTCAGGTGGAGGAGGGAGGCCGTTTGGCAAGCGGAGCTGTGGCTCCTCAAAGACCTCCTCCTCCTCCTCCGCCGCCGCGAGGCTCTGAGTCATCCCGGGGTCTGGCTGGCTCGTTTGCATGCGCACAGGCACGCGCGCTGCCTGTCGCTGGAGGGCTGCCAGGCGAAGTGGTATTTATAGGACTTACTGGAAGCTGCTGGCATGTCCCCGCGCGATCGGCTTTGGAGGAGGAAGTGTGCTGGAGCCGCGGGCCGGTGGCTAGTGGTGGCCGCGAGAGAGCAGGGGCCGGGGTCAGGCCCAGGCACTGTTTCCATTTTATCTCCAAAAGCAATTTGGTGTTCTTTGTCTCCTAAGTGACTCTTAATATGATGGACAAAATGAGATCACTGGGCATTAATCCTCCATCTAAGAAGTACTTGAAGTAATGCCGCGGTGAAAGCGAGCGTTAAGCCCCTTAAACAAATACCTGCTGGAGTTCATAATCCTGATAAGAGTGAGGGGTGGGTTGATCGGAAGGGAGCCTGTTCCCAGCAGCTCTTTAACATGCATGGGGGAGTGTTGGCAAAGACCCCCCCCGTACCCGGCACACTGGCGGTCCCCAGCAGGGTGGTGGCGGCAGACAGACCGAACGCGGCCGAGGTGGCTGTTTCCAGCGTGTGCTGGTGCGTCAAGCGCGTGTTTCCATGCTCTCGGAATCGCCTTTCCCACAAACTGGAAAACAATGAAACTCGGGGCTCTTGAGATCCAGGCTGGAACATTGGCAGAATCGGTTTGGTACGTTGGATTCGGCCAAAAACATCAGGTCTGGGTGGCTGCAGCGGGGCCAGGAAACAAAAGCTGCACCAGCCACGTGACGCGACCCGAAGTCACGGGACATCCTGAGCCTGCCTGCTTCCTGCCTCGAGCTGTTGGGAAGAGAGTGGAATTTGAAGATGGAAGCCAGCGAACGGGACGTGCCCTGGAGGCGACGTCTTGGCTGGCGCTTGGCTCCCTCTGGCTGGTGCGGCCAGCAGAGGTGGGGTTCGCATCTGTTTCGATGGGTACCGGGGCGTAAAGCAGCCCCCTCTCCCGCGCTGCCCCCCAGATAGTTGGGTCTGTCACTCCTGGCGCCCCTAACCCTTGGCCACAGTGGCGGGGATGATGGGCGTTGCAGGCCTGAGCCTTTGGAGGGCACCACCGTAGGGAGGACTAGCCCCAGCGGCCCCGAATGAGCCCAGGCGGCGACCGGCTGGGGTGGCGTGCGCCGCGACGGCACTTAGTCGTCACTGTTCAAGCTCGCCTGACCCTGCTGAAGCTGAGCCTTGTCCTCCAGCCTGTTTGGGACATCCCCTCCTGGAGCCCCTGCCAGCCCGGCCACGCACTGGGGAGGATGGGAGTTGAGTCCAAAGCTGCTGGGAATCTGCTTTGTGTCTGCGCCTGCCCTCAGCAGTAAGCTGTGCCGAAGCTTGTGAGATGGGTTTTTGGGAGGAGCCCGAGTTGCGTCAAAGCGGAGCCGAGGGCGAGAAGGTCTGGAGGGGCAGAAGTGCCACCCTGCTGCCTCCCACCGGCCAGGCCAGGCCGGGCCAGCCGGGCCGGCATCTCTCCGAGAGCTGCTCTTCCTCTTTTCTGCCACTGCAGGTTTGCGAGCGCCGAATACCAGGCCACCATGGAAAGAATCGCCCCCGTGGTGCAGCGGCACGAGGAGGAGCTGCTGCCGGGGCAGCCCCAGCTGAACGTCTGTGACCGGGCCGTCATGGTAAGGGCTCGGGGCACCAGTCGCCCTTGCCAGCCGTGGCCACCGAGGCACCGGGTGGGGCTGGAGCACCCCCTCCGCCGCCCCTTGGAGGGGAGCTGCTGCGCCTTCACCGACGGTACGGTCACGGAGGCTCGTCCGGCCCCTCAGTTGCCACAGCTGCTTCCGCGAAGAACAGCTGCCGAGCCCGCGCCTGCCGCCGAGGTGTCTTCCTTCCCGTCCGTCCCCGCAGTCAGAGCGGGCGCCAGGTGGAAGTATGGCTGGGCTCCTGCCGGGGCCCCCCTGCCCACCCCTCCTCTCTGCCCCTGCGCCTGCTGGCCGCCATGCTTTCGGCTCCGGCCCAGGCTGCAGAGGCGGCGAGAAGGAAGGAGGCACCGAAGAGGCCCTTCGCTGGGCAAGCAAACGGAGCTGATGATGGGGATGAAGATCGGGGGGGAGTGGTGGCGAGTGGGGGGCGTGGAGAGTGTCTCGCCCAAGGGCCCCAAAAGTGTGGCGCCAGCGCCGGCTGCCCGTCTGCACGAGCGGAAGGGCTGCTGCTCCGTGGCAGAGCCCTCGCTCGGCCGTGGAAGGCCTGGGCTCGGCCCTGGGATCTCCTGGTGCGGGTGGAAGAAGCCCCACGTGCTCCCCTCAAGCGCCATTTTGGTAGCAGGTTAGCGCACAGGCCGGGTGCTGCTGGGCCGGAGCAGAGAGGACGGAGCTGGTGCAGGGGCCCTGCAGGTGCCCTGCCCCCCCACCCCGGCCATGGTGCAAGGCCGGATTTCCAGCCTGCAGCTCCCGGAGCATGTTTAGAGAGCTGGCAATGCGTCCAGAGAGATTCTCCCTTCTCGGGCCTTTGCAGAATGATGCACCGCCTTGAACCCACTCCTTTGTCTTACTTCTTGCCTTTTGGAAGCGAAAGCATTGATTTTGAAAACCCCGTTAATTGCTCTTTAAATTGCCTGCAGCCTCCCATTCCAGGAGGTGAAGGCCCGCAGAAGGCGGCTGGGCTCTCGTGGCTGGACCACCACTGCCATCTGGCGCTGGCCGGGCAGAACGCAGGGCCTCCCAGCCATCTCTCCTGAACTTTCGCGGCCCCTTCCCCTGCAGGGCTCCCATGCTAACAGAAGCAGATCAGCGCGGCAGGCAGGCGTGACCTTTCGTGGCGGACAGATTCTCTCACAGCCGAGCGGCTTTGCAGAGGCGCCGAGGGGCGGGGAGCTGTGCTGGACCACTCACTCTCCGAAGCAGGCGCCGGGCAAGTGCCTGCCGGGACCGAGCCGCAGGGGGAACGGAGGCCGTTCTCCAGATGCTTCCAGGGTGCACAGGATCTTCCCTCTCCCGCATGGGCTCAGGAGCTGCCACACAAAGTCTCCTCTGGGATGTCTCAGGCAGGCGGATCTGGCCATTCTGCTGGCCGGGCTGATGGCCACTTCTAGGTCCCAGAAACTGCTTCTCTCGCAGAGCTGAGAGAGCCGCGTGAGGGTCCGTCTCTTCATTTCGCCCCGTCTCTCTCCCTGCCGTCAGCTCTCCTCTACAGAACCTGAGCAAGGACAGGATAATTCTTGCGAACCACAGAGGCATGGAGGGCTGGTTCCCCTGTAAATGCCTCCTAATCCATCAATTGCCGGGGCTAATCCATCAAACTGCTCATTAAAACACAAATGTTCTTATCTGTCTCACCCTCGGCCTTCTGAGACTGCCTCCTTCTCCTGAGCGCTTTGGGTAATCTCCGCGAATATGTCTGTGCAAAATAATTACAGAGCCATTCAAAGTCCAGGGCTGTTTCTTTCTCCCCATCGGCTATTCAAAGGTTTGCTCACTTATCATGATACCAGGAGAGGGAACAGAGGCAGCCCCAGAATTATGCAGGGATCTGCGAGAGGGGGAGCAGAGGCAGCCGCCAGGAAGGCGGGCCTGCGCAGTCTGTTGGCCGGGCCCATGATCCGGGGTCCTGGTGCCAGTTTGCTGCCCAGTGGGAGGGTAGCTTGATGGGCTATGTAGCAAGGGGACAGCATATAAAAACTTTAAATAAATAAAACTTTAAATAAATAGGCCACTGTGTTTCAGGAGCATCCCCTTTCTAGGAGAAATCAACTGCTGTTTTTGACAAAATGCCTAGCATTTTCCAGGCAGTGTCTGCAGAGTGAAAAGGCGACCCAGTTGCTTGTCTCCAGGATGCCTGTCCCACAGAAAGGCTGCAAAGGAAGTTCAGATAAAAATGGGGGAACTAGCAACTTGCTTTTTAAAGCAGAACAACAGGGATCTTTAACAGTCAAATGGGACGAAGGCTGGGAGCTCCGGGAAAGGAGGCGGCAAAGACCCAGCGGTCCCAGCAGACAGGGCTGGCCGGGCGGCCTCGTCCCTCCGCTGCAGCCAGGCGGAATGGCTGCCAACAGAAGGGAACGCCGGGAGCGGGCCAGTCCATCTGCTCCGAAGTTATGGGATGGGGGAAGGCTTGAGGAATTGTGTTACGGGCCCCTCCGCCTCTGTAGCCGTTTCTCCCTGCAGAGAAACCCAGCCCCGCCAGCGCAGGTCACAGAACAAACCGGAGCCAAGGCGCTGCTGCCACTGAGCGGGACGGGAGAGAATCGGGGAAGGCCGTGGTTTGGATCTGCCCCCTGGCAGGAGCTCACCGGGTGCCTTTAAGCGCGCCACGCGGCCTCCACCCCAGCCGCCACGTCCACAGCACGAAGGTGGCAATGCTTCATTTCCAGGCTTCCTGGGAGAATTTGCGGGAAGCACTGCGACCGGTTGGGAGCACGAGGCGCGTGCGAAGGGCATGTGGGGCGGCAGCTGCACCACCCTCAGCCCACGCGGGCCGGGCCTCGCCGCTCCTCGGCGCCCGCACCCGGGGTGGGGTGCTCCGGGGAGGCGCAGCCGCCTGGTCGGAACCGGGGCTCGCGGGAGCATGTGTGCTCGTGCTGAGCGGCCCTCTGACCCCAGAGCACCAGCTCCCGCTGGAGTGGAGTGCGGGGTTCTCCCGGCTGCGTCCCGCAAGAGGGGAAAGCGGCCTGGGGGCATGGCCACTGCTCTGCCCTCAGGAGGCCTTGGCGCCCTCCTCAGCAGCCGCAGGGGCCAGATCAGGGGGCACAGAATGGCAGGGAGTGCTGCCTCCAGCCGGAGCAGGCAGGACTGGGTTGGGGGCAGACGGACCTGCTCGCAGGCAGCTCTCGCCTCCATTCAGCGCCTGACCAAGACTCTCTTTCTTTGGCACAGAACTGGGCTCCTCCAGGCTGCGAGAAAATGGGGAAGTGCTTGGTTCCTCCCAGCCCCGACCCGAAGAAGTGTGTTTGGCTGCACTGAGCATCTTCCAATACTTGACCCACTGCTGTAAAACTGGCTGGAGACACGTTGGATGCGTGGCAGGATGAGTCCCAGGAGGACTGCTTTTACCGACAGGCTCCCCACCGCCACCCCAGGGCCCCAGCAGTCGTCTTTGCACGTTCATCCTCGGGGACTGTGGGGCCAAGGCACAGCGGCCTCTGTTTATTCCAGGTATTCAGGCCGAAGAGCCTTCTTCGTCTTCCACAAGTCCTTGGGAATGAGCTCTTTGCTCCTGCCCTCCGCTCTTCCCACACGGGCTGCTCAAGGAACCTGCCACAAATTGGCTGCACAGCAGATGGGGAGAGAGGCGTCCGCTGGAGCTCAGAACCATCCGGGGCCCGAGGAGGTGGAGCGCCTTCGTGCCGTCGAGCGCCATTCAGGGCCGAGACCAAACGAGCGCTCGCCGGCCGTGGGGCAAGGCCTTCCTTTCCTTGGCCCTGCTGCCAGTGCGCGGAGTCGGTGGCCTCTGTCCGCTGGTCGTTTTCGTCAAGATAGCCAAACGGAGCCCCGGGTCCAGGGGCATTCCGGCTCCGATCACCAGTCCTGTGGGGCAAGCAAGCACTGGGAGAAGGCTGTCCCCTACCTCACTTCTGGCTTTGCGCCTCCTCTTCCAGCTTCCTTCCTGCCAGCTGCTTGTGACCAAGCAAAAGGGAGAGACACTCTCATCTTCAGCTTCCATGTTTGGTTGGCCCACTGCTGGAAACAGGATGCTGGGGCAGTCTTATGCCATGCCACCCTTCTCCAACTGGGTGCCCTCCAAATACTTTGGTCTGTGGCTCCATGCAGCCTGCACCCCTGTTCTCCTGTACGCAGCCCTCGCCGTTAATGGTCCTTTCAAGACTCAGCTCCAAAGGTACAGGTTTACGATGTGCCAAAGATTAACATGAAGGAACTGCCTTCTGCCACGTGTGCGTATTTCTAGTATGGTTATGACTTAATTATATACTTTTGAGATGTCATCTTTCAATAAGTGCTTCTCTTACGTTTATCATTTAACTGTGCTGTCTAATTGTATGACATGAAAGTCAGTATTATTACCTGCAATAGAAATGCAGTGCAATAATACAGTGTCTGATCCATAATGCGCCAAGTTTGTTTTATTGGAGCTCTCTCTTCAGTGGGGTGGTGGAACGAGTGCCGTACGCTTTAACCGCAGCGCTTTTCCATTTTGAGAAGCCGGGAAAGGCTAAGAGCAGGTCTGCTTCTCAGGTACACCGCACTAGAAGAATTGTGCTCGTCCCGTCCAGATTTTTGGCTGGGTTTCGGGGCCTGCGTGGTTTCGTTGTCGCCGGGGGCAGGCAGCTGGAGTGCCCTGAGCGAGCCGTCTTCTCCACCCAGCTCCGCTCCGTCCGTCGCGCGCAGGGGTGCGTGGAAGAGCAAGCCAAGCGGGGCAAGCTCCTCGCCCACCCCGACCAGGAGCTGCCTTCTCCCGAGGCCTGGGCAGGGGCGGAGGCGCTGGCGGGACCACACTTGAGTTGGCGGTGGAAGCAGGACCTCCCCTCTGCCCTTCCGTCCCTGCCCTGTCCCCAGGGAGGGAAGTGCTGGAAATCCTCTGTGTTCCAACGGAAAACTGTGCGCTCAGTCAGTGTTTGTTTCCCTGGTTGCTAAGGAGCAGCTGCTGGGGAACGGATGCTGCTGCTGCTGCTGCTGCTGGTGGAAATAATTCGCCTTCTGGACAGACCCGCTCTGCGAAGGGGCAGCTGTGAAGATCGCCCGCCCGGTGACCTGCCGCTTCGCCGTCCTCCCGTTTTGCCCAGCGAATAACTTTCTGAGAAGTGCAAATCCGTCCGAGTGGGTGGGAGCTTCGCTCCAGGGGGCCAAGCGCGGCTGCGGGAGGACGCGAGCGCCCCAACCAGCTGCAGCCGACTGGTTGCCGGACCCGAAGAAACCCCGGGGAGGCGGGCTGCCCCGGAGACGGCTCGCCGGTTGCAGGGCTCGCCGCGGCGCCCCCTCGCCAGCCCGGCTTCGCACGGCCCCGGGGTTGCGCAGGCGCGCCGGAGAGAACGGCCGACCCGGCTCCCCCGCGCTCCGCGGGACGGTGGTTCCTTCCGGAGCGCGCCCCTCGTTCTCCGCCCAGTGGCCTCTCCCGCCGCGCATGCGCGGCAGTGCTGCCCCGAGGAGCGCGGCTCGAGCCATGAGTGCGGAGCGGGAGCAGCGGCTGCGCCTGGTCCGCGAGCGGATCCGCGACTTCCCGGACTTCCCCTCGCCGGGGGTCATCTTCCGGTAAGCCGCGCGGCCCGGCCCCGGCGGGGCGCCTGAGCGCGTGCAGAGGGCAGTGTCCGCGTGCGGCGAGGCCTCGAGGAGCTCAGTGTCGCCCCGGGGAAAGGCAGAGAGCGGCGGGGAGGCGGCCCGCCGACGTCCCAGCCTTTCTGGGGACCGGGAGCGGAACTGGCGCTCTTCGCATGCTCGGGGAGCTCTTCTCGCGGGTCCTCGCCCCGAGGAGGAGGCAGTAGCGAGGCGGGAGAGTTGCCCGCGAAGGGAGCGGCGGGCCGTCGTTGCGCAGCTCCCGCGTTTCGCCTACGTCTGCAAGAACTGGCGCCCGGGTTGGCGGCGGCAGCTCCCCTCCTCCACAGGGCCGGGCTGCCCTCGACCGGGTGCGCCCCCCGTGGCTGGGGACGGTGGGGGTTGTAGTCAGGACATCTCTAGGGCAGCGGGCCTGGGGGAACCTCCGTTAATTGACCCCCGGGAGCGGCGGGGGAGCGGGGAGTCCGCATCGCAAGGCGGCCCGTTCCTCCCGCGCTCGCCCCCTCCTCCCTCGCCCAGTTCCGCATCAGCCTTAAAAGAGCTGCGGCGGGACTTCCTTCTGAGCCAGCACGGCTGGTGACTGTGGCTGCTGGGGGTCGCAGTTCAGGCGCCGCAGAGGGCGAAGGGTCCGGGAGCGCCGCGCGTGGTGGATCCGCCGGGCCCTAGCGAAGTGCCTGGGCGGGTTTGGGCCGCGCGTTTCTTAACGGCGCCGCTTTAAGGGAGCGGCAAACCCCTTTTCCGAGCGGAGGCCTGTCCTGGCCTGCGCGAGGGTGTCGCCTTGGGCGCAAAGCACGTGGCGGGGTTGCTTCATCCTCCGCGTGCTCTGGGCATCTGCGCTCGTTTGCTTGTGGAACTGAGTTACCCCTGGCATGGTCACACAGGAAGACGCCCCACGGTCAAATAATTAGTTGAAAGGGACGTGCTCCCAAGCAAGCATAGGATCCCCACCATAAGCATCCTGTGTGTCGACCGAGATTTTATACCAGAAATGCCGTATTTCGGCTGTTGCTCCCATAAGCAGCTCCGGCTGGATCCCCTCGACTCGGTTGGTGTGTGAAGCCCTGGAGACAAGCGAGGGCGCCAGCTCCCCTGACACACGAGCACCTCGGCCGTGGTCTTCCAGGCTCCTTCGGGCCCCGTGGCACGGACCACGAGCAGGGATCCGTGCCCTGCAACTCTTCCTGGAAGGCCCCCTCACAAGCAGGCTGCATTTCAGCAGAGCAGCTCGGAAGTGCGAGTCGTGGGTTGTGGGACTCTGTGGTGGGAACGGCCCCTCCTGCTTCAGGTAGGGCGTGTATTTCCAGAGTCCTGAAACCCTGCTTTTGGCTCCTCTTTCCCGGTAGGGACATCAGCCAGCTCTTAAAGGACCCTCACGCATTCAAAGTTGCCATCGATCTGCTAGAAGAACACGTCAAAGCTGCACACCCGAAGATTGATTACATTGCAGGTCAGGTGGGGACCGACCTGCTTGCATTTGATCCAGATGTGCAGCTTGTGGGGAAAGAGCTGGATCTCTGGAAAGTTAGCGGGGCGGGAGCTCACGCCTGCAGTGATCGTTTCCCCTCCCCGCTGCTGCATCCTCCCCACTTTCCCCGAGTCTGTGGGAGCTGGGCTGCTTGCACCGTGCCTGGCAGGAAAGGATTGCAGAATCGCTTCTCACAGTTCCAGGCGGTTCACCAAGCCTTCTGTTTTAGCATTTAGATTTTGGCTCACGCAGTGGTGCTTTAGAAGCAAAAAGGTACCACTTTCATTTGCCCCTCACAGATCTTGTCCGTCTCACCCTTTCTTCCTCTAGGACTTGACTCCCGCGGCTTCTTGTTTGGACCAGTTTTGGCACACAGACTGGGGGTCGGGTTTGTGCTGGTCCGGAAAAAGGGGAAACTCCCAGGTCCTACAGAATCTGCTTCCTACACCCTTGAATATGGAAAGGTAATTTATTTGGGGGTGCAGGGAAGGCTGCCCCCGAAATCCCCCTGCAGGGGAGGGGAGCCTGGGTTGCAGTGATCCTTGCTTCAGCCATGGGAGGGGGGATGCCCTTTCGAGGGTACCGTGTCACATGGTCTCCGTGGCAGAATTGCCCCTTCAGGCAAGAGGAAAACCCGGCTTTCTTTTGCCCCCTGCAGGCCGAGCTCGAGGTCCAGAAAGATGCAGTGAATCCAGGTCAGAAAGTGATCTTGGTGGACGACTTGATCGCCACAGGAGGTGAGACGCAGGGCAAACCGCCGCGTGCGTTGGGTGGAGGATCCACGGCGGTTTCGGATCTAAGTCTTTCCGCATCTTATATTTCAAAATTGGGGGACCAACAACAGCTTCAGGGCACTCCTGAGTGCAGCTGACCAGGGGCACAGCCTTTCAAGAGAAGTTAGACTCCAGCCCCCATAATCCCCCAGCCAGCACCAGTTTGGAAGGCTGTGCTAGTCCCTTGAGCTGCTGGCCGTCCACCTTCCACTTTGAAGATCACGTCTGTATGCAAAATCTGTTCCCCACATGCCCTTTACCCTCAGACTTTTGGAGAATGCAAGCACTTGCGCTCTCTTTTGTGACATTTTGGCTGGCTTGAGGAAAATGCTAATGATGGATTCGAGCATTTTTCTTATGAGCCCCCATGGCTTCCTTTTCCCTTTTTGTCTTGGTGGAAGAGTATTCCTCATAAAATCAAATGCCAGCTAAATGGAATTTATGTGCATCCCCTATCTGCCCTTTGGGTTCCCACCAGAAGAGAGAATCTAATCTATTTAGATTAGATTCTACCAAGAGAGAGTCTACCAAGTCTACCAAAAGTCTACCCGAGAGGGACTTGGTAGATGTAGAGCGAGTTGGCCAACTTGTGGTCAGAACTGGATAATATTTCAAAAACTCCAAACTGCAAATGGGAAATGTTGAGTAATTGGGGAAGGGGGAAGGGCTCGCACAAACCTTTTTGGGTGTGGTGGCATGCAAACTTCACCAAGCTTTTAAAAAAACTATTTGCAGCAGGAAAGAGTTGTCTGAAACTGGGGTTTTAAATCTGAAGTATATATTTCCACAGTGCGAACCTCTGTACTGTATAGTTGGGCAAAGCTTTTACTTGGACCCACCAAAAATCCACAAAACCACGCAAGCTTTCAAATTCTCCAGTGCTGTTTTGTGCCCTTAGGGAAAGAGGATTGCTTGGCATGATCTGATACAAGCCACGCTGATCTTTGAGGCTGCAAATCCCCATTTTGAGACCAGGCTTAACCCAATACGTTTTGGCCATAACGCCTGGCCAAAGTACTGAACTTTTCTCCCTGCTCCCACCGCTTTTTGGGTCTGATGGAGAACTCACAATCTCTCTGTTTTTATAATAAGTTTTATTCAAAATAACCCTAAAACAAAGGAAAACTAAAAACAACATCAATCATCAGAGACATCGGACCTGCTGGGTCAGCCCCCACATTTTTTTCCATTTGTGATTACATAAAAACATATTTAAATCTATACGAAGTCCCGTTTCTCTAGCCAATAATAAAAAGAGTTCCAAGTTTGATAGAAACGAGAACTCACAATCTCAAACGATGTGGTGGAATTTGGCTTGGCCTTCAGATATTGCCCAACGGTGAATCCTGAATTTTTCTGTCCTCATGGGCCAGCGTGGCTAACTTGGGTTTTAAGAGCTTCCGCATCACATACTTGCCAACTGAACCTGCCAATATTTAAGCACTTCTAGACTGTTTTTCAGGTTTACCAGTAGAAAGTAGCGGTAGCCGCCCAACGGTGGCAGCCTCCCTTCCCTTCCCTGCCTTGCCCACACGCCTCTTGCTTTCTCTGCCAGGGACCATGCGTGCTGCCTGCGAACTCATGACGAAGCTGCAGGCCACCGTGCTGGACTGCATCGTGCTGACGGAGCTGAGGTTTCTCAAAGGGGCGGAAGCGCTGAAACCGTTCCCCCTCTACTCTCTGCTGCAATACGACTGACACCAGGTGACCGGAGGCGACCTGCGTTGTTCAGGAGCACGAGGAGGAAACAGCCCGCGGCTAGCCTCCCGCCCACACGGTTGCTCGGCTTGCGTCGGCCACAGTGAGCTTGCCCCCGGAAGCTTTGTCCCCTCCCCTCCCCTCACCCAACCTTCGCTCTCTTAACCACATAGACAGGAACTGTTCTGGCAGACTTTGAGCTTCCAGAATTTCCAGAATCCAGTTAAGATGTAATGATTCCGATATCCCATGTGAGCTTTTCTCTCTTTGAAAGAGAACCAAACCAGCAAAGGAGCGCTCTCTCTGTTGGAGAAATTGCTTGGCCTCCTTACAGGGGGGAAGGCCAGCCCTCGGACTGCCAAGGGGAGAGAGAAGTCCCCGCACTGGAGCCCTGTTCTTGCTGTATTTCTTCCCTGGTTTTGCTCACAAAGCCTCCCAAAACACAACCAGCTTAGCGGGGGTGGGAGTCAACCAGCGTGCTTCTTGTTGCTGTTGGAGCAGGAGTACTCTGGCTCTTGGACCACAGAGAATGCAGATTAATAAACCTGGTGTAAGGCTGAATTTACTCTTGAAGCAACGGGGTGTCCCATCTGCTGCTGAGCCACTCGGCTTGGTCGGTCCCTCTGGGGGCAGCTGTGCTGCAGAAGGGCCTCGCTCCCTGCTGAGCCTCTGGATCGGGCAGAGCATCTCTGGGCGCCAGTCCGAGAGCGACCCTGCCGCCTCTGCTGCGCAAGGTGGAAGAGTTGCCATCCCGCCACCCTAAAAATGGCTCCCAACTAAAAAGCCACCACCTGAGACGCTGCTGTGTTGACTAGACCTTGCCAGAGGAAGTGCGAGCGTTTGCAGTTGCTAGAAAGGGGCTTGTGGGGGGTGGGGGGAGAGAGAGAGATCTGGCTTGAAGTCAGCAGGCCGTCATGTCCCAGAATGAGGTGGGGGGGGGATTTTGGGTCACGCAGCAGATGGACCCGCGCCTGTGCTGGGGTTGCCAGGACCTCTCGTTTTCCAAGCAAAAAAGCCGCGAAACAGATACTCTTCTGCTCCCCTTTGCTGTTGGCATGGATTATGCACCTGTGCCCGGAGGCCCTGGCCCGGAGTCGCTCCTTTCCCATCAATGCAGCAAGCCTCCTGCTGTTCTTCCCCATCCGGTGGTGTCAAATTCCTCAGTTGCTCCCCAGAGTTCATTAACGTGAGACTTAAAACTCCTTCCCAGTAGCAGAGTGCTCAGCTCTGAATAGGAGGTCGCAGAGAGACTTCCTCTGGGTGCAGAACGGGGTTGTGGGCACCGAAATAGCCTCCGCCCGGGCGGGCTTGGAAGGGGCTTCAGCCATCCAGTGCTGAGGCCGACTCGCCCAGTGCGGCAGCCGGGCAAGGGCTTGGGTTGCAGCGCAAGCCAGTCTCAACCTGGGCGTTATCCTTGGGATGAGCAAGCCAAGCCCAGGGGAGCCTGCCGACTGAACCGAACCTGCTGCAGGTGGCCAGCAGCCCACCACAAGCCAAAGCTGGAGTTCTGAAAAACACCTGGAGTCTCATCTCCACTATAACGTGAAGCGGCCAGATGCCGGGTCCAAGGCGGCCAGGATGCACAGCTGGCCTCCCTGCAGATCGCTAGAGGTACGCAGGAATGGGGAAGGACAGCTGCCTCTGCACTGGGGAGTCTGCCAAAAGGCAAGGCAAGCTGCTGCTTTTTACCTGGGGATGGGGAACCTGTGCTCTTGCTCCCCCTTTCATCTCCAAGGTGAAGGGGGAACAGAGGCAAACCATCCGGAAGAGCCAGTGCACTTGAGCTGAAAGTGCTTCCTGCCCGTGACTCAGCGGGGATGAAGCGTTTTAGCCTTTTAGAACAGGAAACGAATTGTGCAGAGCCAGGGAAACGCCAAGAGGCCGTCCGGAACGGCCCAGTGATGGAGGCCAGCGGGGCAAAGCCAGAGCAGGCCGTCGGCCTTGGGTTCGACATCCATTTGGCGAGCGGATCGTTGCAGTAGTGGGGGAGAACCGGCACTGTTCTTTCAGCCTGGAAAAGCTTTTCGGTGGGAGATCGCGGAGGGAACCAGGCACCGCTGCCTGCAGTCCCTTTCCTCTCGCTGACCCCACCCAGAAGGACGCCTGTGGGTCGGCCCTTTCACCGCAGCCCCTGGGAGTGTGACAGGCTTGTCCTAGGAAGAACCACACCTTCAGACTCCCACCTGTAAAGTTTTAATGCCAAACATCATATTCAAGTCACATTTTAAAATAGAACCAATCTGCTTTTTGAATTAAAATGTACTTTTCATCCCCTTGCCACAAGAAACCTGTGAAAAACCCGAAGGAAGCACAGCCCAGCACCTCGCCGCTCTGCCCAGAATGAGACCGCTCGCATCGTGCAAAAGGCAGGCAGGGACGGCGTGGTCTGGCAGGGCCCGTCCTGACGGCTGTTCAGCCTGCAAGGGGCAGGATGCTGGTCCTTGGGAGCTCGGCTGTGGGTCGCGCGTGCTGCCCCCGTGTGGCCGTGGCGCCAGCTGTTCACCAGCAGGGCCAAAAGGAGAATAGCAAGCAAAGCCTTAAAAAGCAGTCCGTGTGTTCCCAGTGCTGGGTGCCTCCAACTGGAAGAGGAGAACAAGCAGCTACACAAATCTCATCCAGAAGAGCCTTTGCCAAGGAGGACCTGGGTGCGGAGGGCCTCGCGGGGCCAAGCGGCCCTCCTGGGCGGGGGCGTCACAGCCTCTCCTCTTCCCGTATCCGCGTGGCCAGCCTCTCGGTGATGAGGTTCAGGTCCGTGTTTCTGTCCAGCTTGATGTACGTCTCCTGCCGGATGGGGAGGATGCTGACCCAGTCCGGAAGCAGCTCTGCGAAGAGGCGCAGGTGCTTCTCCATCTCTCCTGCCAGGACAAGGGGGGGGACGGTCAGCACCGGCTCCAGAGCCCCTTCTTGTGCCACCCGGCCCGTTCCTGCCCCCGTTACGCCGGCTCCGGTTGTGCCGCTTATAATCCTAGGCTATCACAACACAACAGGAAGGAAACACCCAGGCTATCGCAGAGAAAAGCAAAGCAAATCTAGGGGAAGCACTGATTTCAAGTCTGCCAAACTGAAATTCAGCTCATTTCCTAGGACTGACTCGCCAGCTTCCCATAAGCGCCAGGTAAGGAAAATGGCAGGAAGCACAGGGCTCAACGCTCATTTTCCAGCTTCTCCAGTGCAACCGCTCGGAACCCTGCGGCCGCTCCAAACCCCACTTTAGATTTGGGGATAGTTGGGGAAGAAGCAAACCCAGCCGGGCCGACGGGGCACGCGGGCGACGGAATGCAGGGGCGAGCGCAAGGCAGGGCGTCCGCCCCTCCGCTGGGTCCCTGCGTGGGGTTTCCCCACGGCGGCGGCTGGCCCTTGGACCGGCGCTCCTGCGCTGGGCGGCCCGCTGCCCCCCCCCCCACTCACCCGGCGTCATGAGGGCCCGGCAGCTGGCCACCATGCGCTGGCCCGCCACCTCCAGCGGGAGCGCCGGCTTCTTCTCCGCAACGAAGACGCTGCGCAGGACCCGCGCCATCTCGGGCAGGCGGCCCAGCATGTCCAGCCGCCGCTCCTGCTCCGGGTCCCGCGTCATGAGTGCCTGCAGCTTCTGCGCTTCCTTGGCTCGGATCTGAGGGGAGAGGCGGGCGGGGCTGAGTGTGCTGCCCACCCGGGCAGGATGTGGCCCCCAGCGCCAAGCCGGCACTGTCCTAAGGCTGAAGCGGCAGCCGGCGTGAGACACGGCTACGTGCCGGCCCGTTCCCCGGGCCGGAGGAGTGTCTGCTGGGCCACAAGGAAGGTTTTTCGGGGTCCGGGAAGCCTGGGAGACCCCCGCCCACCCAGCCACTCTGGGTGGTTCTGCACGAACAGGGTGCCGGCATCGCTTGGAAAAGGGGGTTCCTTGTCACTCCAGGGGAGTCTGGAGTCGAACCGAGGGCACAGCAGGCTGCCTGCCAGAACCCGGAGCGCCGGCTGTGGGGTCTTCGCACGCTCTGGTGGAAAAAGCAACACCTGACCTGCGCCCCGGGGCAGCTGCTCCTCTGCTCCGACGTCTGAGCGTCCTGCAGAAGGCCCGTTCGCTTCCGCAGCTGCAGGGGGCGCTGGAGAAAAGCGGGGACGGTGGGCGACGCACGGCACTCACCCTCTCCAGCAAGGACTGCGACACGCCTCTCAGGCTGTCGGGAGTGTCCGGCGGGGCCGGCCGGGGAGACGCGGGTGCGGGGGGGCTGCTTAGGGCGGTCCTCAGTGCCAGGTTGGTCAGGGCTTTTTCCATCTGTTGCAGAGGACACAGGAGGGAAGGTGGGGAGAGCAGTGAAGCAGGCAGAGTGCAGGACGGGGTCTTGGGAGGACCGGGTTCTAGTCCAGCTGCAGACCCTCAGCCTGACCACCCTCACTGCAGAACTAGCAAGGGGGCCGCCCGGCCGGCGTGCCCTCCCAGCCGGGAGGCCTTCGCCCCGGGCCACGGCGCACCTTGGGGGTCAGCATGCCGTGGGCCCTCGCCAGCATCTCCTGCGCCGTGGTAATCTTGTCCTCCTGGGGGGCCTGGGGCAGCGCGGCCGGGATGATGTCGGGCACGCCGTCCACGTTGAAGCGGGGGTGCCACCTGGTCAGCTTGTGCTCCGGGATCTCCATGGGGGGCTGCAGCGCAGCCAGGAAGGCCTGCAGGGGCACATGAAAGGCGTGTGGGGAGGGGGCCAGACTGTGCGTCGGAGGAGCTGCCTGGAGCCCGCTTTCAGTGGGAGGCAGGGCTGAAGGGGAGAGGCACGGGCACAAATACCGGCAAGCGCCCACCCCCTGCAACTCGCGGGGGGGGGGGCTTTTGTGCCATGCACAGGCTGGGGGTGGCCGAATCAAGCCCCCAGTGGGGCACGCTTGGCCCCAGGCCCTGCACTGGGCAGCTTACGGGGAATCTGTGCCACTTCCCCCAGTCCGCACTGGCCGGACAAGGAGTGGAAAGCAGACGCGGCCAGGAACCGGCGCACAGACGAGGGAGACGCGCACCTTGTGATGCTCCTTGACAATGTTCACCAGGTTCCTGCTGAACGTCTTCCGGCGCTCCATCAGGCGGGACGCCGACAGCTTCTCACCTGCAAGCACAGCAAAGCCCTGAGGCGAGGGCGAAGCCCGGCACCCTTCCAGTGGCCACGCCGTGGCTTCCAGCCCGCACGGGGGCTGCTTGTGGGGCTGCGAGGCCGTCGAGCGGAGGCAGGGCTCCCGGCTGCCCAGAATGACCAACCCTGGCTTGGCCGAGGCCCCGTCTTTGCTGGAGGGACTTCTCCCCCGGGGGCAGCTACGGCGCCGCGCCCAGGATGAGGGGCTCCAGGGCAGACTGGCCCGGAGATCAACATGGGTCACCCTGACCGAGGAGCCTCTCGCAATGCAGACTGTGGGGGTGCCAAGCACGTACCGGCCCCCAGCACAGGCTCGACGGTGAGCTGATAGGAGCGCCGCTGCGAGCCGCCGCCGCCGCCGAAAGTGGGAATGTTCTTCTCCTGACGCAGCGTGTAGGAGGCTGGGAACACCGCCTTGATCTGGCCCAGGTGCCGCTCCTCAAACTGCCTGCAGAAGGGCGAGAAACGCGGGCAGCCAAAATCAGCCTTCTGGAGGGAGGCAGCTGAACGTGCCTGTTGATCAGGGCAACATTCGCACCCAATTTTAATTTTTAGATGTGTATTATTTCAGTGTATTCTCTTGGTAAAGCGCTTAGAGACACAATCATATGCTTTTTCCACAGAAAAATCTGCGGAAATTTAGAGGAAAAATTTAACTTCCTCTAATCCTGGAGACAGGATGCAGCACAGTCCCATCCGTCGCCTCCAAGGGCTTCTGCCCCCCTTTCTAAAAACAACCCAAGCTGCGCATCAGGGCCTTAAAGGCGACTGGCAGCTAGACGGGCCAATGGCAGCTCTCTGCCAGCCTCTCTCAGATGCCCCTTTCCACAGTCCCCGCCGGAGAGGCAAGCAAGCTTACTTGCGTATCATGTCCTGGACGCCCTGCTTGACCTTGCTGAAGGTCGCTGCCTCCGAGCGGTTGAAAAGCACCCCCACGATGGTGTCCATGCTGCAGAACATCTCGGCCAGGACCCTGTACTGGTAGGGCAGCGTGAGCCCCGGGGGGGTGTCCTGGGCTAGGGCCTGGAAGCGCTGGTACGCCGGAGCCTTCTCCCTGGCAAAAGGAGAAAGGAAAGGGACGTGTAGCCAGGCCCCGGGAGCCACCTTGCGAGAAAGCTGCAGGAGCACAGCCCTCGTGGTCTTGTCCTCTTCTGCGGCCCAGACGGTGCCAGTGAAAAAGGACCGGCCTTTCTATCAAACCTGGCATGCTCTCTTTATTATTGGCTAGAGAAACGGGACTTCATACAGATTCAAATATCTTTTTAAGTTATCATAAATAGAAAAAATGTGGGGGCTGACACAGCAGGTCCGATGTTTCTGATGACTGATTTTGTTTGTAGTTTTTCTTTGTATTAGGATTTTGAATAAAACTTATTACAAAGAAAAATGATCAGCCATTTGCTGTCAGAATCCACACACAGGACAGATTGGTTTAAACTACGCTGACCCTATTGATGGGTTCTGTGGGGCAAACGGCCAACCTTTTGGATCACCAGACGCAGCACGCTAAGCTGATGGCTGGAGAATGCTGGGAACTGTAATCCAACCCATAGGAGGGGCACCGGGCCGGGGAAGGGCTGCTGTGTCCTAACTCTGCAACTGTTACAGGCCATCCAGCCTTCGAATTCGCTTCATACTCGTGGGCCTTTCCCGGAAGCAATACTTCAACCAGAGCTTTTCCCACCTGGCCTCGGCTGCAGGCTCCGGTTCCTTCGCAACCAGCGGGAGCTGAGAAACATCCGCCGGCTTCTCCTCCTCTTTGGACCTTTCCCTCTCGCGGATCTTGGCCTCCAGCAGCCGAACCTGCTTCAGCCTGTTCTGAAGATCTCCACCTGTCTCTGAGGCACTAGCCGGGAGCTGGGCTTTCTTCACCAGCGCGTTGATCTTCCCCAGGCGGCCCCTCAGCTCTGCAAGCGTCTCCTTGGAGGACCCCTGCTTGGAAGGAAGCAAGGCTCAGCTAGGGAGAGACCCCATGATCTGCCTCACCGAACAGTGGACTGGATTTCTAGTGGATAAGTGAAGTTAAAAAGCCTTGAACGGGGTGGAGAGCCCATGGCTCCCAGGTAGCGTGGCTGATGGTTGGGGATAAAAAGCACTGGAATTCAACATCCGGAAGACCGCAATTGCCTCTCCCTGGCTTGGTGGGACTTCTTGGGCCACCCCCCTTAGCCCTCCTTCTGCATTCCACTGGCTGCAATGGCACATCTTTCTTTGCATTTAATTGTTGAATTAATGGAAGGCACGGGACCTTGGGCAACTTAAAAGTAAAGCGAAAGATGCATTCCCTCGGCGACACGCTGCAGAAGCCTCCCCGTGACTGTCACGCACACTCGACAATTTTCCACGGTTACTTTTAACATGCATCTCCTGGACAAGCCGCCCCGAACTGTTCCATGAGGATCAAAGCGGTAATGAAGCCGCCTTAAAGAACGAGGGTTTGATCTTCACACCCCCCCAGAGGCACCGAGCGGCTAAATGCAGGCGTGTGCCAGCTTACCGCGCATGGGAACACCGCGGTGGAATGTGCGCGCTTAATGCCAAGGGGCCCAAAGCTCAGTCTGTGGCACCTCTGTTTCGAAATGAATCGTGAAGGAGGCGAGGGGGGAAAACCCTTCTTGGCTTGGAACCCTGGAAGGTTGCGGGCAATCCGAGTAAATACTGGATTAAGCGAAAAGGTAGGCTAGCCCTGTCCAGGGGAGCGTTTTCTGCGCAAAGAGCGTCCCTTTGGCAAAGGCGAGACGAATGGCCTCGCGCCTCGGTGCAAGGAGCCGCTCACCCAGGGCGAGCAGAACCCCGTCCCCGGCGAGCCGCTGGACTGAGAGGGTCCTGCAGCTCCCGCCCGGCCCCGGGCCCTCCTCCATCCTCGCCTTTCCAGTCCGAACGCACACGCGGCCTGACAGCGCCGGAGCCAGGCGCGGGCGCGCCTCCCACCCCGAAAACGGCGACTTCTCTGCGGCGAGGGAGCCGGATACCCACGGCGGTGACGCAAGCGGCGGCTCGGGGGGGGGGGCTTGTGGGGCCGGGCCGGCACCTTCCCTAGGATGCCCCGAGGCGGCAGCAGCGATGCAGCGCGGGGCCGCGGCTCTGCAAGCCTGACCCGGCCCTCCGGCACGGCGGCCCCCTGCCGCATCCCGCTCTCGGCCGCGGCGCTGCGGGCCCCGCTCGCCCCATCCTTGGCCGGCTCATCGAGATCGGGGGGGCCGCGGGTTCGCCATCCGCGAGAGCGGAGCGCTCGCTCACCCGCCGGCGGCGGCGCC